CCTACGATGTCAGCAATTACACCATATTTTTGAATAATCCCTTCTTTAATAAAAAGCCCTACACTTCCGTTACGGTTTAGGCTTTATATTTTCACGTCATTGAATTTAGGAGTAAATATTTTGTATAAAAACTCTAATGTGTGAAAGAGACCATAAGTTGCTGCCAACATCAAGGAAACAAGGTTGCCATGGATTGACTTCATGCCATGTCATTTTGACATTTATTACTAGCTGTTCCCGTGGGGCTATCCGCATGAAATTATAGAAACTTTGTTATTGTTTACATTTGTCAAATTCTCAATTGCAAATGTCAAAATTACCGTTACCATAACATTGCTTCCTTAATGTTGGCAGCTTGTAATTTATGGTCTCTTTCTCACATGAACGTTATTTTCTAATTTATTTACCCCTAAGTTTAATGGCGTGAAAATATATAGTCTAAAGCGTGGCGTAAGTGTAGGGCTTTTTATTAAAAGAAGAATTATTCAAAAATATACTGTAATTGACGTCTTAAATAACTGTGTTATATAAATATACGCCTCGGTTATTTATATAGATACGAGCTGTTGCCCGCGACTTCGTCCGCGTAGTATTAGAAAACATAAAAACTGTATAAATTACAAAAAGTTACGTATTCCTCGGGAACCGGACATTTCTCAGGGATGAAGCTTATCCCATGTGTACTCCAGACTTCGTTTTATATCTGTACCAAATTTCAATAAGACATGTTGAACCGTTGCAGAATGATCGAGTGAACATTAAAAAACTAAATGAATGAATCCCACGGGAACCGTAACTATTCCCGGGATAAAAAGTAGCCTATGTGTTCTTCCAGACTATGCTCTAAACCTGTGCCAAATTTCATAGAGATCCGTTCAGCAGTTTAGGCTACAAACGCTAACAAACATCCATCCATCCATCCATCCATCCATCTAAACTTAGCATTTATAATATTAGAAAGATAGATATATTAATATATTATTATTTATTACATGTATAATAATGTTTTTTTATCCCTTTTTTCAAGGAATTCACAGACAATGAGTTTGTGAAGTGGCACAAGGCGATAAGAGACGCGGGCAAGAAAGCACCCACAATGGACTTTGTTAGGGGAAAGATTAGTGAAGTTAAAGAAGCACTTATGTATGAGTTTAAAGTAAGTTTGCACTCAGAGACATATACACAAACCCTTAATGTATCTTTTGTATTCAAAAACTGTTGGTACAAACTCACAGATGTAGAATAATTTTAATTCCAATCCAGTAGGTTTCCAGTGGTATTTGTCCAGCGCATAATGGATATAGACCTACGCTGGACTGGAATAATGTAAAATAAGACATTTAAAAATTCTGATATTAAATACTTAGACGAAAATTCTTTTAGACATTAAGAAATGCTAAAAAGTAATTTGTCAGATTGAGAATTGACCAATTTTTTAATTTATCTGCGACTTTTTTAGTTAATTATATATATAAAAGGTTTTAAATCTATACTTAATAATAATATTAGTATGTGTTAAAATTACTTAAAAACTACTGAACCGATTTTAATAATTTCTGCACAATTAAAAAGCTATTTAATTGAGTAACGTAGGCTATGTTTTTTACTATTTTCATAACCACGTAAACGAAGTCGCTAACAGCTAGTAGTATAATTAGAGTGTTGATAATGTAATATAACTAACTGTTGCTCGAGACTTCGCCTAAGTGAATTAAAAAAATAACAAAAAATATAATTCACGGTACACACTAGGCAAGTACAGTTGGCCAGTAGGGTTCAACTGGACTGGCATTCAACTGACAGTGTGAACTTTAACTAATGTAGGTCATTTAATAGCAATAACAGAGTTCTTTTATTAGAAACTAGTTGTTGCTCGCGTCTTCGCAAGCGTAAAATTAAAATATACCCTATGTTACAGATAAATTCCATTTCTAATAGTGAAATAATTATAGAAATCTCACCAGTTTTTGAGTTATTTCAATAAACAAAAATACAAATCTTTCTCTTTATAATATTAGTATAGATATAATTTTGTAATTATTATTATTAAAGGAAGAAGATATAGAGAAGATAGTAGCAGAAAAAGAGAGATTCCGATCTCATCCTACAAACTACGCTATGAAGAAAACACAGCTTATGAAGGAAAGAGACGTCGCACAACTCAGGTGAGACAGATATATTAAAATATTAGATTTCGCCCGCGGCCCTGTCTTTTGGAATTAAAAAATCAAACAAAAATGGGACCCACCTGCAAGCATTACCTTTCGGATAAAAAAAGAATTATCAAAATCGGTCCAATAGCGGCGGAGTTATGCTGTAACATAAAAAAAAACATACAGACGAATTGAGTACCTCCTTCTTTTGGTAAGTCGGTCAAAAAAAAACAAAAGTAAGTAACCTATGTGTCCTTCCAGACTATGCTCTACATCTGTACCAAATTTTATCGAAATCTGTTCAGCCGTTTAGGCTACACTCTAACACACATCCAAAATTTTTTTCATCTATACTAATATAAATGGGAATTTTTATTTTTGTATGTATTGAAATAACTCAAAAACTTATGTTAAAAATGTTATTTATCTGTGTGTAATATAGGCTATATTTTATTACATTTTAATTTCACGTGGGCGAAGTCGCGAGTAACAGCTACTTTATAATATACGATCGCGTGAAATTTAAAACAAATTTAAAAATACAGCCTGTTATTGATAACGTAGCTTTTTGATGGTGAAAGAATTTTTTAAATCGCCCCAGTAGCTGAGTTATTTCAAAACATAAAAAAAAATCTTTCCTCTTTATAATATTAGTATAGATATTTTTTTTTATTTATCATCTTCTACAGACTCTTGGTCGGTACTCTTTTTTGCACAGTTTGTTTTCCTTTTCTTTTTTTTCTTTTTTTTTTTGTTGTATAATCCGTATATCACTAGTGAGTTCTTTTTTTTTTAAATACAATTATACTACTGCTTTTACTTATACTAGCGCGACAGTTGTCAGTGGCGACGGATGTGTCTTTGAACCGAGTCTATGTGTTTTTTTTAGATCTTCTACGATCGCTGTGTCTCTGTTTCTCATCGCCATTTGTTAGAATAGATAATTAATATGGTTTATTTATATTTCAGAGGCGATGATGAATTAGTAATGGATTTAAATGCTAAAATACAAGAATTAGAGGACAGAGCGAGTCAATTGGACAAAACAAGAACATCCTCTATACAGAGTATTTCATATATAAATAATAGGAATAGGAAATTAAATGTGGAAACTGCAGAAAAAGCTATAATGGAAGAGGTAAGAAATATATTTAGTTAAGATTTTTTTTAGTTTTATAATATAAGGTGGCAAACGAGCAAGCGGGCTGAATCCACCGAAATGGAAAGCGACCGCTCGTAAACATCCGCAATTGCAGCACTGCCTACCCTTCATTGACGGAGACGCATATAAAGAGGATATTTCCCCTTCCTATGCGTCTCCACCGTCAAATCCACTTAAGAAAGGGGTGCAAAGGGAAAGGGACTAAAATTTAAGCTAAAGATACTATAAAATAAAAAAAAATATTGTACATATCTATCAAAGTCGCACATTTGCTTAAAAATAAATTGAAATAGCAAAGTAAGAGGTATCAACTAATCTATTATATTAGTTTTCGCCCGCGACTCCGTCACCGTGATTTAAAAAAAATATAAGTGTGTCCTTCCAGACTATGCTCGACATTTATTCCAAATTTCATCGAGATCCGTTCAGCAGTTTAGGCTACAAACTAACAAACATCCATCTAAACTTTCGCATTTATAATATCAGAGTATTAATTTATATTTATGAAATACAGATTTTCCGATTTTATTGTATTTTTGTAGAATTTCTAAACCACTTGACAGAATTTCACACAGTTTTAGTGTTAACGTAGAAATAGGTTACTATTCTAAAGATATAAATTAAAATATTAAATTTAGTATAACTTTTGCTTTTTATTAAAAGCTATTGGACTTTGGAATTAAAAAAAAACATATTATTTATGTTCAAAAATATATTTTAATTGTAACTTTCTGTATTTGATCTAAATCCGTTAAGTTTTGAACAAATAGTAACAAACATCCATACATCTAAACTTACACATTTACAATATCAGTAATAGTAGTATTTTTTTTCAGGTAAAAGCAAATAAAGGTAAAAAACAAGACGATCCATTCACAAGACGACATACAAAGCCCGTTATGAACTTCAAATCTCATCAAGGAGGACGTACTCAGGTATTTACGTTTTTCTTCGCGTGGAATTAAAAAAATAACTTTTTGAACACCCTATATCCTTTTTTAATCTATATTGTACATATATACCAAATTTTATTCAAAACTATTTAGCCGTTATGGAGATATTTAGTAACAAACATCCATACAAATTTTCGCAATTATTAAGTAGGACCTTAAATTTTGTATATGTATCGAATAAAAGGCAATTTTATTTGTTATTTTATTTATTAGTAATACATAATTCAGATTAATTTCTAAAATATGTAAATAAATTATTAATTTGACGTTTTAATATGACATTGATCTATTTATTTCTAAAAAAAACCGTTAAATGTGGTTTTTTAATACTATATCCACACTAAATGACGTTTAAAGGCCACTTAAGTCGTAATTAATTTATAGGAGTTAATGAGGAATGAAGAAGCAGCGATAGAAGCGCAGCGGCAGAGGGAAGAAGAAGTAAGAGCGGAGAGGGAGAGGCAAGAGCGAGATAGACTGATATTGGTGAGTTACGTCTTTAAATAACTTTTTATATACAGGAGTTATTTCAAAGGGAAATTTTAAGTCAAAAAAACTATTGAACAGTTTATTGCTTACTTGCTTTTGCTCGCGACTTCGTTCACGTGGATTTTACAATTAATAAAAAATGTAGCCTGATAATATAGCTTCTTAATAGTGAAAGAATTTTTGAATAATTAATGAATATATATTTTTATTAATTAGACGCAAGCGAAGTCGCGAGCAACAGCTAGTAAATAAAAGCACTCTTCTATTGCTATACAATAGTTAAAGTTGACACTGTGCCAGTTGATTGCATTCCAGTTGAATATTACTGGCCAACTGTACTGGCCGACTGTGAACCATGCATTTTTTTTTAAATTTCAGCAACAAACAGAACCAGAAAGACCTAAACGTGACAAAACAAATTCTTCAGATAATACAAGTTTATATTCTCTACATGATTTCGATATAAATATCGATTTGGATCTACCTGTAGCCAGTAAGTGGAGTTTTTATCTATACTATTATAATAAAGCGTAAACACATACTTCTTTGTTGCCTAAGATGTCAGCAATTACAGCATATTTTTGAATAATTCTTTCTTTAATAAAAAGCCCTACACTTACGTCATGCTTTAGGCTATATATTTTCACGCTATTAAACTTAAAGGGGTAAATATTTTGGATAAGAACCCTAATGTGGGAAAGAGACCATAAGTTGCTGCCAACATCAGGGCAGCGTGTCATGTCATTTTGACATTTGCAATTGACAAATGTAAACGATAAAATGAAGTTTTTATAAATACCTGCGGATGAAGCCGCATGGGAACACCTAGTTTTTAATATTTAGGTATTTATTTGTGTATTTTAAGTAATTTTACTGTTAAATTGTCAATCATACTAATATTATAAATGCGAAAGTGTAGATGGATGTTTGTTAGAGTTTGTAGCCTAAACTGTTGAACGGATATCGATGAAATTAGGTATAGATGTAGAGGATAGTCTGGAAGAACACATAGGCTAGTTACTTTTGATTTTTTCAATAACACGTGGACGGAGTCGCGGGCGAAAGCTAGTATGTCATAAATTAAAAAGAATATTACACGAAACACTGTAATTTTTTATGTATGTAGATTTGTATGGATGTAAATAGATTTAGACGATTTTTTTTTAGTTTTATTTACTAGGTTTAGTCAGATTTTTAGTGTATTTTTTTATGTAATGATAATATTTTTCAGAATCAATGAACGCTCAGCCGAAACAAGTGTCTGGGAAAGTGAAAGAAACAGGACCAAAAAGGTCACTTAATTTGGACGAATACAAGAAAAGACACGGACTTATATGAGTTTTGTTAATTTTGTGATAGCATTTGAAGTGTTGACGGGATGAAAAGAACATTTTTATCTAGATTTTTTAATATCTAGATAGTAAAATGAGTTAAGATATTTATATTAGTGAATAGATTTTGATTTTTTAACGCTAGTTGCTAGAATTTCAGTTTTTTAGGTGTTTGAGAGATATTTTTTTATTCTCTTTCCCGAGTATTGAAGCAATAAAATATAGTGCCTAAAGCATATGTACAAATATTATATAAATACATTCGATTTACACGTTTTTTCCATACATGGTCCTTCGAGTCGGATTTTTTAAATTCAATATGCAGTAATTTTATAACTACCGCGTGTTTAAATAAATTTGTTGGTACATTTTTTGGTAATTTACTTATATAAAAGTATTTTAAACGAAAACATAAAAATCTAAACATGATGACCAAATTTTTTTTTTTTCAGTTCTCATATGAAAATGTTGAAAAAAACTTAGTGATACTAAAATAACTAAATCTTGTATAATTGTGTAAATTAATATTTCTTCTCTAAATATAAGAAATAACAAGTTTTATCGTAAAATTTACTATTTTTCTTGTATTATTTAAGTTATCCTTTGAAACTATTGGTTTTGAAGGTTTTTGCTACCTCTATATTGTTATATTTCACCGAAGTTGCCTAAATAAACATAAATTGTTATATAAATACTAAGGGCCCTTCCCACCACTGGCTGATAAAGTCTCAGATAGTTAATGTCACTGTAATAAGGGAATAAAATCCGATATTCATCACATATTTTACACGTTGGATTGTTTGACAATTTATAATCTGGTGGAACTGACCCTTAATAGTAAAATATATAATAAAATAACTAACCTTTATACAAGCTATAAAATGTATTTTATGTTTATTAACTCAAAAACTAATGAATAGATTTTAAAAATCCTTTCACCATTAAAAAGCTATCTTATCACTAGTTGTTGCTCGCGACTTCGTCCGCGTGAAAATAAAAATAACAAAAAACTACAACCCATGTTATAGATAATACATTTTTTTTGGTGAAATAATTTTTAAAATCGGTCCAATAGTTGAGTTATTTCAATACATACAAAAATAAAAATCTTTCCTCTTTATAATATTGGATATAATTACTAGGAAAAGGGTTTTTTTAATTAAAGTCCATAATAAAGGAAAAAACACGCCTGTATAGAGGTTAGAAATTCAATACAAATGAACAAAAACATCTTTATCTTTTGTAGAAAAGAGATAGATATATTTCTGTCTGTTCAAAATATATATTGTGTTCTTTTTAAATTCTTTATGAAAATTATTTTTTACGTGCTGGTTTATCGGTTAAAATAACATATCGATTATAAAGACGGGTCTAAGGGTAGCTACCCTCACCTTTTTACCACACATGAATCAAAATATCTTTAAATCTCTTGTTAATTTTTCAGTTGTAGTTACTTAGAATCAACTTTAACTTAAGCATGATCAGTTCTTGTCGGAGGCCCAACTTTACTCCCTTTTCCCAACCTTTTTCTCATATGGATGGAAAGGGAACGTGGATTTGAGGGTGAAGGAGACGCATAGGAAGGGGAAATGTCCTCTTTATGTGTGTCTCCTCCGTCAATGAAGGGTAGGCAGCGCTGCAATTGCGGATGTCTAGCAGAGGTCGCTTTCCATTTCGGTGGATTCAGGTCGCTTGCTCGTTTGCCATCTTATATAAAAAAAAAGTTCTCATAGTTTTAGTTAAAAAATCCGTTAATAGTTAAAAAATCGTCTATAAGCGACATTTTAACTGTCAGTTTTATTATATGGTAACTATAATTGATTAAAAAAAATCAAAGTTAAATTTTTGCCATACGCAAATTAACTCTACAGTTAAATACTGTCAGAAGTGCGTATGTAACTTATTAGTTTGTTTAAACTGACTTGTTATTCTGAAATCGTCTGTTAAATGTTTTTATGCAGTTTTAGTCCAATGTACTAAGCAATATTAAATTCATAGTTTTATCGACTTTAACTTCGGTATTTTACAATCTGACTAGATGTTATCAAATAATAGAAAATTCAAGTTTTATAATGCGAGTATTTAATGTCAAATTTATTTGAAAAATTCAATCAAAATACGTCTAATATTTTCTTGTCAGTTTATAAAATGACAGAGTTCACAATTTGTCGATATCATATCTTAGATAAATTGTACTTCCATACTCTTCCCATTTTATTCTACTTGTTAATATAACTTTCGTTCCCGTCAACATTTCCTAATGTCTTAAATTATTATAAAATAGTTATTTAGAATACGCTAATTACTGTATTTTATACGTTTAATGCCACAGCGCTATATAAATAAAATATAAATAAAATGAAATTTTTCATAAATAAATAACTATAATAGAAAGGTTTACTAAAAAAATAGGTCATTTACAAACAACATTCATTATAATTTTCGTAAGATACGGGTTTCTTACCACTATTGGGTTTTAGCTCCCGATATCTCGGCACAGTTGCATGCACCGAAATATCGGGAGGTAAAACAACCCAATCGTGATAAACCCGTATCTTACAAACATAATTGTATAAACCACGAGTTTAAAGTTATAAATCATTCATTAACCAATCATACCTTTCGGTCTTGGATGATTCGTAAATTGGTTCACAAATGAATGATTTAAAATAAATAGATTCAGACTTAATAGAGATTTATTATTAATAACAAATAATAAACATTTTTATTCCGAAAATAACCATTCAGTCAAAATCATTCGGTTTGAAATAATTCAATCATTACCAAATGTTTCTCAATAAATTCTACATGAAATTGATCGTTCAAAATTTAATCTCAAAATAATAATTCGGTTAAAATCATTCAGACTGAAATCATTCGGTCATTACCAAATGTTTCTCAACAAAATCTAAATTAAATTTATCATTCGATCTGAATTCTTAACAAGTCATTCATTCGTTCATATAAATGAATTTAAATCCAAGAAAATCATTCAGTCCTATGTGAACGTTGGAAAAAAACATACTTTCTCAATTTATTATTAAAAAGTAAACCTTTCTATTATACGTATTGCCTTAAAATTACTAAAAATGAATAAAAAATCATGTAAAAGCAATGAAATTATATAAATGTTAAATATAGTATTAAATTTTCATTATGTTAATATTTGAAGCAAAAACTTTGTACCAGTTTGTAAAGAAATTAAGCAAATTTACGTAAGAAATTGACAGCAATAAATATTAAGAAATGTAATTTTTCAATTAAAAAAAAACATTAAATTTAAGTCTAATTTCAACCAATAGGCGAAAGGCGAAGCGAAAAATAGTGTTGCCAATTAAAAAAACTACCGTATAAGGTAAAATATTTTGTTGCCATATGCATACTTACTATGACAAAAATACGAACTATTATTTACTTAATTACTGGTAATATTTAATTAAATAATTTGTCATATTTAAATAAAAAAAAATTTTTTCAAGGTTTTAAACAATTTGTTTTGCATTAAAATGCTGTAATATCATTTTTAAGTTTGTTACATCGTTAGTTTGAAATCATTGGTAATGTTAAAAAATTAAAAATAAACTAACCAAAAAAAAATTGTTAAATGAAAAAAAATTTTGCAGGCCTTTTTAAAAAAATAGTAAATTTTGTGCAATTTCAACATCACAAAATGTACAAAGAAAAATATTGTTTTCAAAGTATTCATTTAGCAATAATTTTAGAATTAGACTAGTTTATTTATGGTCGAAATTTAAAAAACAAAAATCATTAGTAACATAGAGGGTTTTTCGTAATTTAAACGTAAAGTATGTAAAAATAACTAAATACATTTTATTATTATAAATGCATTTGTGAAATAAAAGGAAGAAAACAAGAATTTACTTGTAAACTAATTTTTAATATCGTGTTTCATTTTTATTGAACAAAATCGACACAGAGTCGACAATGAGAATTAATTTGAAGGTTTGCAGTCCACTGGATTGTAAATTTTGTCACCTCATGTTAATATTCAATTATTTTTAATACGTATTATTTATTTTATATAAACAATTGTCAACGAGATGTAAGTTTAAGGCTCAAATGCTTGAATAAATACGTCGAAATGAAACTTGTTTTTTAATGTTTCCCGTTGGATTATCGGCCAATGGGAAAATACCATCTTTTCTGTAGGTTTTCACACAGATCTGCGCTAAAGTATCGATTTAAATCTGAGAAAATGAATAACAATGCTTTTATCATATCTACTAGATAAATATAGTATTTTTTTGTTATTTTTCAATTGCTCGTATAGTTCTAACTAAGCTCTAACTTATGCTGGGATATGTTTTTGAATGGAGGGATTCGCACGCTCAAACATCTGAAAACAGTGCCTTTATTTCTATTATCTAAATTATTTTAAGACTATCAGATGACCGCTTTTTGTATAGAATTAAATTATACTCCGTACCACAGCAGGGTTTTTGAACGCTCGAGGCATCACATGGGAACTAGATGCTTGATGTCTCGGATAAGACCCGCTATCTAAACCATTTGGATGGACTTATTTGTACCCCTACATGACTAGACGTTGCATCAGACGGGTGGTTAAGGGAGGAGAGACAGGATAGTATTAAGGCCGGGCTACCCCAGGAAATCCGAAAAACAGGCATTTTACCGTGTAAATTCTATAGAGCTGGTTCAGTGTATAATCTTGAAAAAAATGATGTGCGTAGATGGAATAAAAGCTGTTATATTATCCGAATACATTTTGTGAAGGCATTTCTGTTTTTCGCAGTTATTTTTTCTACCCGACGATGCCCATAACAGTTGGTAATGTTTTTCGCACGTGATGTTTTTCAGTTACGCACTATATTTTCTAGATTTCGAGGTCATAGTTTAATCTTTGTACTTTGTGTTTCGTAACTTACGCAAACGCACGAGGCAATACGCTGACGAATGGCCCCGTTTACATACAGGTGTAGGCTTAAAAATTAATTATATAATCTGTTGTCAGTCAAGTTAACTCATGTTAAAGGTCATTTAAAAAAAAAAACAATTTTCTTTTCCATACTTCTACGTACAAAAAATAGTTTCAAATACCATTTTTTTTAGTAAATGTCCTATCATTGAAAACTTATTTTGACGATCTTTAATAAAACCGTACTCAATTTACAAGAACATGGAGGTTTTTTTTATAATATAAGGTGGCAAACGAGCAAGCAGTCACCTAAATCCACCGAAATGGAGAGCAATTGCTGCCCATAGACATCCGCAATTGCAGATGCGTTGCCTACCCTTCATTGACGGAGGAGGAGACGCACATAAATAGGACAATTCCCCTTCCTTTGCGTCTCGTCCACCGTCAAATCCACTTTTCCTTCCTATCCTTTCCTCTTAAGAAAAGGATGAAAAGGGAAAGGGACTAAAATTAGGCCTCCGGCACCACACTCATCAGACGAAACGCGGAATTGCTTGCACTTCACGCCTGTTTTCTGTGTGGTGGTGGTATAACACCGATACGGCCCATTTGTGCGAAGATGTTAAAGCGGGCTCTACCACTGTGATCTCACCACTGACGAATTTGACATAAAGAACAAAATCATTCCTTTGAATCACTCTTTCAAATATGTTTATTAACGATTATTTATTTGTTTATCTGAAACACTTGGAATTATCAGTAACGAAAATAGCCCAATGGTTAGAAAAATTTACAGACTTTCGATTGTTATAGATTCGATTCCCGTTACTCGACTTATTTAATCTTATTAAGATTATTGGCAATGGTAACTTGAACATGTTAAAGTCCTGTCCCACCATTGGTTGATAGAGTTTAAGATCGCTTAAAAAATGACGTCACTGTAATAAAGAAACAAAGTCCGATATTTCCATTACATATTTTACACGTTGGATTGTTTTCAGATAATTTACAATTTGGTGGGACATGCCATAAATGTCAAATCGTTTAGTAAATTTTCATACACAATTTAGGTTATAAAACAAATATTTTTAGTACGATTAAATTGAAAAATGGAAATATGTTTTAGGGTTTTGTGGAATTTTACAAAGACGTGTAACATTAAATTTCTTGATTGTTTTTAGTTTAAACAATATGTGACTTAATTCTATTTTATATTTAGCCATGTTTCTATTTCCTTGTTCTATTTTCTAGCTGAGAATGCATTTTATATGTTGCCGTTAAATTAGAACACAATATGACAATTGAGAAATTGCCCAATTATGAATATGAAACTATAGTTATATCAATAAAAAGCAAGAAAATACACAATGACAAGTTATTTTTATTGTAACTTCAGATGTAAGTTAAATTAAATATGGCCCACTTAGTTAAGTTGCTTCACTCATAATCAGCCTACTCTTTTCATTAAGTATAGTCAAGCTAAAAAACGCTATATTAGAAAAAATCTAAATTCATATTTACTACAACATAGAGCAGTTGCTGAAAACTGCAAACACGGCATATTTTTTTTATATTTAAACACACGTATTTCTTAGAAAAGTACATTCTTTTCTTTTCGCGGCGGCTGCACGTAAGTATTTATTTATTATTTATTTTCTAATTGTATTTTTTTTTTACAAATTAAATTATTATTTTTTTCTTAAATTGTATTTATAACTCAAGCAAGTGCAAGCTTTTAATGAAATTGTTATTACGCAATTACTACAACGAGACAAAATTAAATTAAATCTTGTATTTTTTTTCTATTTAACTGATGTTTTTTTAAAAAAGTTTTAGCTTTTCTGATATAAATTACTTCTAAATAAGTCTTGTTGAATAACGGCCGAAATCAATGTTCGATAGACTTGAGATCGACGTAAAAAAATATTAAAAAAAAAATATTATATAAATTATTTCACTTTTTTAATCTGTTTTAAAAATAATGATTTATTTTTTTCTCAGATTCAAGATGGCGTCGTACCTATACTTTCTGTTGCTGTTTCCCGCGCTGTCACTCGCAAGAATAGATGTCAAAATATTCGGTTTATATGACGGAATCGAGAAAACTGTTGTTATCGATTTCAATGGATCAGATACTGAAGTTATATCGGAAACAGAAGAGAAAACATTCCATTTAAATGAGGACAGATTAAAAATGAGTGCAGAAAATTTCTTCGGGAACAAACCAAGCGATGTTTTCTTACACAGTCCAACGCCATTCGGAGATTTATACCAAACATACAACTGGGACGAAGTGAAACGAACAATGAAACCTAAAAACGGTAGAATTTTGAATATAACGAACGAAATGAGAACAATAATGAGTAAAAACTTCGTGAATACCGAAACGAAACCGATTACTTTCAATATCGGATTGAAAAAGCATCTAGAAAATACCGTGTCATCGTTTTGGACTAAAAATGGCGACCTCACTATGAACAAAGGGATAAATTACGCGATTTATTTAGGTAATGAAACTGTTACTTATACGTCATTATGGGGTTTAAATACAGAGAAATCTGTTACGACTGTTATTGGTTCTGATGATATGCAGATTTCATTATTACCCGGACAATCAGTGACAACAGAATTGCGAGCTATGCAGTTAAATTTGGCCATAGAAATGGAGTACATGACCAGTTTATCAGGATCCGTGGCTACTAACTATATGGAAGGTTACAAAGGTCATCATTACTGGGCGTTGGATGTTGATGAGTTAATGGCGGCTAACGGAATAAAAAATGAGGTTATGTCGACAGAAACTATAGAAATGATTTTCTATACAAACCCTCAAATGGTAGTTTTTGATACGAAAACGGGTGAAAAAATGACTGATTTAATTCTATAAATTTGAACTTTGTGATATTTTTATCGAAATTATTTAAAAAAAATATAATTTATAAATAAAACAACATTGGATATAACACGCATTTCTTATTTAAAAAGCCTTATAACAGAGTTTCTTAATATTTTTACATAGACATTAACTACACTTATATACTATGTAATACACATAAATAAATAAAAAAACATTGTTTTGGTTACATCTATTATTAAGCTTAAAAAAACACTGACGTACAAAAGTTTATTAAATTATATTTTAACATAATTACCACTAATAAATAAATAAAAATTGAAGTTAATGTTTAGTAAAATAAAACTGCTTTATGTACTAGAATTATATATAAAATGTATCAAATACTCAAAAGTTTTGCAAAGCAAAAATAATTATGTCCTATAAAAGTGCGTAGACACAAAAAAAAAATATGAAATCGGTCACTATTAACTTGTAAAAGAATTTCACAAATTAAAATAAAAAATATCAAAACGACTCTAAAAAAAACTGAATTCTTAAACCACTGGATTTTGATATGTATTTGAAATGTGCGCTTCGAAAAGTCTTTGTTAAAATAATCGCTGAATTTAAAAATAAGCACGTCAGTGTATTTAACAAATAAACATAACAAATACAAGAAATATAAATACTTGGTACACGTAAATTGTAAGGGTTGACTCACATATTTGGCTAAACTATCGCACGACTGTTTTGTTTACGAAATGAGTATATTAGGGGAAGTTTGAGAGTAGCCCCAGTAGTAGAAGGTAAGGAGTAAAAGGTTAGCATGGGCATGTTATGAGGAGGGATGAATCGCATAACAAGGAGAACGTTAGTTATGAGTGTAGTACATCGGTAGAGGTAGACCTAGAAAGAGATGGATTGTGTAAAAGGTGACATGATCAAAAAGGGAGTGATGACTGAGATGACGTATGATAGAGTTATGTGGAGGACAAAAACCTGTTGCGCCGCTACGGGAGTAGGATAAGGAGATGATGATGACGACTGTTGTGCGATTGTCGATTGTTACGTAGTCAACTGTTTAGTTGCACTTAAAATCGAGTAACGCACCTCCATATAAGGTCATAGGAATCAAAGCGGGAAACAGTATGCGATAGTTTAGTTAAACGCGCTAAAATAGTTTAAAAAAGCATAGATTAAAAAATATGTAAAAACATCATTAATTTTACAATTTTTATGCATTCGTCCAATTCAATGGAAATAAGAATTTTTAACAGGTATAAGTAAATATTCTTCAGTCCTATTATTTTTAACCCTTAGGCAAATATTTGACATTACCGTAAATTTACTTTTTGACCGACTTCCCAAAAGGAAGTACTCAAGTCGTTTGTACTTTTTTTATTTCTTTACTACCCTTCGCCCGCGACTCCGTCCGCATGGAAGTAAAACAATAACAAAAGTGGGTAGCCTATGTGTTCTTCCAGACTATCAAACATCCATCCATCTAAACTTCCGCATATATATTAGTAAGATTGTTTACTCTAATCAGTATCAACCTTAGCAAAAAATCCCCCCCCCCCACTTATAAAAAAATGCTTAGGGCATGCTCCACCAAATTGTAAATTGTCTGATAATAATCTAACGTGTACATGTGATGGAAATTTGGATTTTGCTACCTTCTCTGACATCATTAAGCTATCTGAGCCTCTATCAGCCAGTGATGGGACAGGCCCTTACTTTTTTAAATCTGCAGAACTGACATAGAAACTGTCACCGTTATAATTATTTAAAAATACTCTTGTTTGATTAAAGGTTAAACTAAGCATACTAAATTTTAGTTAATTATATAATTTGATATGCTTAGTAATCTAAGTTACTAAGTTACTAAGCATTCCAAAGGAAACATTTTTTTTAAATATTAAAAAGGGACTGAAAAATATTTGCTTTTAAACACCATTTGTCTATTTTTAGGAACATTTTGTATTTAAATAGACAATAGAAATATCTCTGTTTGTAAGAAATGTGCATTAAAATCTTACATAGGTAAAATTTAGGTTTGTTATAATTCCTTATTTCCATTAAATTCTGTACAGTAGCGGAAATACGCGGTGTCCCACTTTAGGAAAACTAGCCTTGTTTATTGCAACGAGCCTCCACCTTTCTACAAATACAGTGGTAGTGCCCGCTTTAACATCTTAGCACTGTAGGGCTCGCACCCAATAATACCACGACCACACAGAAGACAGGCGTGAAGTGGAAGCAATTTCACGTACAGTCTGATGAGTGTGGTGTCGGAGACCCAATTTTAGTCTCTTTCCCTTTCCATCCCCTTATAAGGAAATGATTTAATGGGAAAGTGGATTTAACGGCGGAGGAGATACATAGAAAGGGGAAATATCCCTTTTATGTGCGTCTCCTCCTCCGTCAATGAAGGGTAGGCAACGCATCTGCAATTGCGGATATCTATGGGCAGCAGTTGCCTTCCCGATTTTGGCGGATTCAGCCGCTTGCTCGTTTGCCATCTTATAATATATGAAAAGACACATTTATAAGCGTTGTATTGGTTTTTGTTTCGCTCGTTTCAAAATCAAACGATTTTAGCTTTTAGGAACACCAACAAATTCCCCGATTGTACATATGTATGTAATATTCCATACATTTCTATATACTTCGATACGGATGTCATCTTTCATACTTTCTCGAAACTATAAAATTAGAACATAAATAAAGATTATATACAGAAATAAAATAAAAACTTTTTTTTTATTTCTACAATGTTAGTTTTACTGTCGCACTCAGAGTCGTAAGTATTACATCTATATTAAAGTCTCCCTTAGTGATTAATATCAGCGTAGTGTTGTAAATAAAATAATTAAAAAACTATAGGAAAATATTTTCTATAGTTAATTAAAATCAAAAAAGTGAGGCCAAAAATGCCTCTAAGGGCCTTTTTTGGGGGGAAATTTCCTCAGAAAAATAACTTAAAAAACAAAATTTCAACTAACTAACACTAGTCATAGATTATATATCTATAATACAAAAACGGCATTTAATAGTCACATTTAAATTTAACCATTGAGGTTTATTTAGCGTTTTTTTAAATATTAAACTAGATTTAATTGTTTTTGTATTGTTAAAAGAAAAATAAAAAAATAAGTATTTTTAACTATAAATAAATTCCATACAATATATACGAAGTAAATGAAAAAATATAATTTACAAACCAAAGATTAAAAAAGGTAGAGAGGAGACATATTTGACACTTCACTTGAGACATTTTTCATATAAAAACCACATGTCAATATAATTAATTGTATTTATAGTTTGTCTAAATAAGATTAGTTTGATAACGCATATGAAGTATCGAATTCAATTTGTATGAAGGTAAATGTACTTAACAGACAGGTATCGTAGTGACGAAACAAACACGCAGCGAACTATTATGAACTATCGATATTCGGTTTAAATAATTATCGAACTCAACTAAACTTATTAGTTTCTTATTAAGTAATTTATAGGACAATTCTAGTATTGATTATAGTGTAGAGAATTTAGCAATGACAGAAATAATAGCGAAATCAAATTCGATTACGTACGGCTGTAGTAGTAATAGACATTTATTTACTCTCATTATTTTTAATGATTCTGCAGGTCATTATAACCTTGAGAATACAGGTTTTTTTTTAATTAAAAAGTTATAACTATGCATCTATCGATTCCAACTTCTATAAGAATAAAAATCGAAAATCGTAAAGATTCATGACTGATTTTACACAACCCATCCCTACTAAATTGTCACAGTATTTGTCAAACTAATCTATCTTTTTTTATAGTGTGTCTAAATTATTTCCGTCATCGCTAAATTCTCTACACTATAATCAATACTAGAATTGTCCTCTAAACTAGTTGTTAAGAAAATAATAATTTTAGTCAAGTTCGATAATTATTTAAACCGAATATCGATAGTTCATAATAGTTCGCTGCGTGTCTCGTCACTACGATACCGGTCTATTAAGTACAATTACCTTCATACAAAATTTAATTCGATAATTCATATGCGTTATCAAACTAATCTATCTTATTTAGACAAACTATAAATTATTAGCCAATATGTCTCATTATATATTGTATAGATGGCGCTTATTATAATTTAGTAAAATTTTATTACATGTCAACAAACACGAGCTATCTAAATTTGATTTGATAACCTTTCAGAGAAAGGACCGGTCAAAAAATATTCACCTCGTCTATATTATTTAAATGACTTTAACAACTATTGTACTTTATATAATACTAGCTTAGTCCGGCGACTTCTTCTGCGTGGAATTAAAAACTAAGTAGCCTATGTGTTCTTCCATACAATATCTGTGCCAAATTTCATCGTAATCCATTCAACAGTTTAGGCTACAAACTCTAACAAACATCCATCTAAACTTTCGCATTTATAATATTAGTAAGATTTCTATTTAGATATGAATTGAATAACATATACAAAGTTTTAACATCTATTTCCACTGTAGAAACATAACTAATACATTAAAAAAAAACATACAGACGAATTGAGTACCTCCTTCTTTTGGAAAGTCGGTAAAAAATAGCAGATTTTTGTACAAAAGACAGTTGAAATCTAGTTTTCCTATTTTAGTATTTTCTAGGTATCGCCAGCGATCTAAGCTAGGTCTACGTTAGCAGGCGACGTATGTACTAATTGTTAATTTAAAAATAAATTATAAGATAAGGGAAAAGCATATATAAGACATAATATAGTAAAATACATTAAAGAAGGAACTTTTATATTGTATTACACAAAAGTAACTTTACTCCGTTGTAAAAAAAAATGTAATATTTTTAAAACAAACGGTAGAAACTTCATTTGTATCACTACAGATTATATTATAGTTTGAAGAGCGTTACCACTGATCTGTAAAAATAGACAGGCTAGATATGATAACGTAGATGCAGATAAGATGCGATTTTTCGCCATTTTAACGCTGGCAGTTAATAAAATTCTAAATAACAGACTCGTTTAACAGAAAACAGTCATTTCATATACCTACCCATTTATACAGATCAGTGTGACTAAGTTAAGAAATACATAAGCTAGTAAATTGTATTTGTCATGCCAGTTACTGGCAAAATCGTACAAGACTAAATGTAATGTAAACTTGACATGATGCGAACTTAGCAAGTAGCTGTAACAAAATTATTCTACTTGCCATGTACTGGCATGCCAGTAAGCAGTTTGCTTAGTACATATGTCAGGTATGGTACTGCAGATGTGCTAGAGGGTGTTCATACAGCGGGTATAAGGGCTGCGGCGGGAGGGCGGGAGGGTGCGGCGCGTCGCTGTCGTCATCCGTTGAGGAATCCAGCGGCTTGTCGCCACCGCCACCACTGGTAGACACAAAAAATATATATTAATAGACAAAATAACTAAGTTAAAGATCCCATTTTAGTCCAATTTCCGTTCCTATCTATACTAATATTATAAAGAGGAAAGATTTGTTTTGTATATGTATTAGATTCACGTTAAAACTATTGGGTCGATTTTTAAAATTCTTTCACCATTAGAAAGGTACTTTATTTGTGAGTAACATAGGCTATATTTTACGTATGCGAAGTCGAGAGCAACAGCTAGTTTATATAGAACTAGCTGTTACTGGCAACATTGTCCGCGGAAACTTAAAAATAATACAAAAATGAAGCCTATGTTACTCACAGATATCGCAGCTATAAAATTTTTGACATCGGCCCAGTAGTTTTAGAGTTATTTCAATACAAAAATCCAGATATACAATTTTTTCCTCTTAATAATATTAGTATAGACAATTAGATTTAAAAATCACAAACCTATGACTTGTTACAATATTTAGAAACTACAATATTTAACAAACTAGAACAAAAAAACAACGTTCTATGTCTATGAACCGTCGGCCATCTTGGATATCCGGTTACAGAGGGAGCCTCCGTCGCTACGTTTATTTAAACTGACGTAAAGGCTAGTACACTGAACGAGGAAATACGATATTTCGTGATTATCTTAACAATATATTTGACTAGCTGTTACCGTGCGGCTTCATCCGCACGAAATTATAAATTTATTGTTTGCATTTGTCAAATTCTTAATTGCAAATGTCAAAATTACCGTTACCATAACCTTGCTTCGTAATCGGCAGTTAGTTTATGGTCCCTTTCCCACGTGAAGTTTTTTTCTAATATATTTGTCTCCTAAGTTTAAAAGCGTGAAAATATATAACCTAAAGCGTGTCGTAAGTGTCGGGCTTATTATTTGAGAAGGAATTATTCAAAAATATGCTGTGATTGGTGACATCCTACGCCACGGAGTAGTGTGTTTACGCTTTATTATGTTAGCATAGATATAGAAGTATTTATTTATTTATTAAGATAAACCAACAGGACAAAATTATAATACATACATTTTTACACAGTAAGTATGGACAAATAACATTAAATTATTCTTTGGCTATGAGATTCTGGCGATTTAGTCGCAAAACTACGTACAAAGGCTAACAATCTTTTAGATATTTTATAGACAAAGCAATACAAATCTATTTTAGTAGATTTCAGACATCGGCGTCATGACACATACCTTAAAGAGTCGCTTAGAGACTAAAGTCGCCGATTTTCGTATCCCGTATGAAAGCGGTTAATCATGGTGAAAGAATTAGCTGCGATTTTAAAGATGGCGTTTAAAAATACAAAAGGCGGTTAAATTAACAAAGTGGTAATCCGCCATTTTTTTTATTACAGCGTCCCATTGCTAAGCCAAGCGTTTTATTCTGCTTGATTAGTTCAAAACAAGATTTTTGTGTTTCGAATTTCTTTTGTTAAACGGACCTTTATGGTTGGTTTTTTTTACAAAATTTCATTATACAAAAGCATCCAATTGGATGGAGTTTTTGTTCAAAATAAATGATAATTGTATAATCTATGAGACGGTCACCATAATATGGCAAATGTATACTAATATAATAAAGCGTAACCACACTACTTCGTGGCGTAGGATGTCGGCAATCACAGTATATTTTTGAATAAAACTTTCTTTAATAAAAAGCCCTACACTTTCAACACGCTTTAGGCTATATATTTTCACGCTAGTAAACTTATAGGGTAAATAAATTGGAAAAACCACCATGTGGGAAAGAGCATAAACTACAAGCTGCCAACATTAAGGTAGCAAGGTTATGGTAACGGTAATTTTGACATTTGCAATTGACAATTTGACAAATGTAAGCGGATGAAGCCGCACGGGAACAGCTCGGAAATAATATATAATCTATCAAAAGAGATGGTCACCATAATATAGCAAATGCAATATAAATATAATACAAAATATATTTACAATACAATAATGAAGTCGACCGTTTGCTTTCAGAACAGATGTGGCGGTGTCAGGTTACCTATTGCTGTCTCTTTCACTCGTCCATCCGTTACAACATATTAAGTAAATTGATCAACTTTAAACCTTATTGTCTTTGCACTATAGTTCAATTCAACTCTGCATTTAAGTAATAAAATAACAATTACTGATAATTGTTTTATGCAATTTTGAATCTTATTCCTTGTTGATAGGTTCCATTTTCTTATCGTTTACATTTTGTAAGAGGAAATGGCATTAAAATGAAAGCTATTTTAAGCAAAATTAAACTCTATTGTTCTAAAGTTACGATTGTGTTCGTATAAAATCAATAAATGTTCCAATTTTGAATTTCGAATCAACAGTATTGTTTGAATTGAATCATTTGTTTGTATTGTTACATTGTTTGAAATTTAAATCTTATTGCAATGCCACAAGAATGTAAATCGTATATTTATTTCCACAGTTAAAATCTATACTCATTCTTGGAATTACGGATTAAATTCTTGTCAGATTTAATATTTTTTTTTAAGTTAATTTAATTTTCTTTATATTGTTTTTTAATTTTTATCTTTTTAATATTATAAATGCGAAAGTTTTGATGGATGTTTGTTAGAGTTTGTAGTAAACGGCTGAATGGATCTCGATCAAATTTTGCATAGACATAGTTTGGAAGAACATAGGCAACTTTTTTCTTAATTCCACGCGGACAGTCGCGGGTGCAGGCCAGTTTATGTATATTTTTAAAATCGGTAATGAATTTTTAGATTCTGAACTCTTACGTAGTAATTATGACTGCGTAATTTAAAAATTGCTTATTCCACTTTGACATACATGTTTTGTGCTATGTTTCAATATTAAGGTTTTATGTAGTACAATGTTAAATATAATTTCTACTAAGTTTAAGGCATTTTAGTTTAGACGTAATATAAACTGTTGAGTATACGTCTGTCTCTATTGCTCTTTACCTTCGATATATCTTTCTTCTCACTCGTGTAACGAAATGTGACACGACACTCGGAAAAATTAGAAATTTCGACGCATCAAATTATTGAGGTGTAAAAAATATCGTTAAAAAAATTAGTACATATCCTATTTCAAAAGTTTCACACTAAAATTTCATCAATCAAATTAATTAAAATTTTCAATAATAATATTCAAAAACTCATAACAAAGTATCCTATTTCAAACGTCATAAAGTCTAAAATACATCTTTACATCTCTGTTTAATTTTCTAGTACAAATAAAAACAATAAAATTTGAGTCGTAACATTTGACAATAAAGTTGTTAATTGTGTAACACACATTAAAGTAACGTGAACACACTCCGCCACGGATCGGGTTACGTACGAAGCCAGCCAAATGGGTAGGCAAACTGTAGGGCGACAATGATTATAGAAATTCCCGGATAAAGAATTGATCTTACTCTAAAACAATACAATTATACTTATTTTAAGATATTGTCATCCCTTTCGTTATCTTAAACAAAATAGAAAAATCTTCATTACGACATAGCTTAAATTTTCATTTAAAACTGGCAAAAATGTCTTACTTTAAGATGTAAAACTGTAAAATTTTAATTAGTAAATTTTAAATGTAACTAAGACGCTACATATTTAAATATCGTTTCAAAATTCCTTCGTAAATCTTCTAAATAAAGTTTATCCGCAATCAATAATAGTATGGTGTCATTAGTGATTACTCTGTTTATATTACTTATGTGTGCATTATGTCTGTGTGCGTGTTTATTTATAAACTGCACGCTTGAAACTATAGCCGGCTGGCATTTTACGTTGTGCTGACCCTAGCGTTTGCAACCAACGTTCAAGAGAACAATCAGGAATGTACCGAAACATGTTTATGTACAATAGAAACATTTATCTATACTATTATAATAAAGCGTAAACACACACTTCTTTGTCGCCTAATATGTCAGCAATTACAGCATATTTTTGAATAATTCTTTTTTTAATAAAAAGCCCTACACTTGCGTCACGCTTTAGGCTATATATTTTCACGCCATTTAACTTAGGGGGTATACATTTTGGATAAAAACCCTAATGTGGGAAAGAGACCATAAGTTGCTGCCAACATCAAGGAAGCAAGGTTGTCATCATGTCATGACATTTTGACATTTGTAATTGATAATTTGACAGATGTAAACAATAAAAATAAATTCTCATAATTTCATGCGGATGAAGTCGTACGGGAACAGCTAGTTATACCATAAGATGGCAAACGAGCAAGCGGCCACCTGAGTCCTCCGAAATAGCGAAGCGAACGCTGCCCATATACATCCGCAATTTCTGTGCGTCTCCGCTGTCAAATCCACTTTTCCTCTTAACAAAAGGATAAGAAAAAGGGACTAAAATTGCTAGATTAATCTAGATATTTATTAGACCTATGTTATACTATTGTAATTAGGCCATAGGAAGTCTAACAATAACAATGTTTCCCGTTTCCATTCTAAATTCGCTGACGTTTAAATATGCTTTAAGACAACGAGAATAAAATATATTGAATCTTTTTGACCACACATGAGTCTACGTTATGTAAGGACCACCCTTGATTAAATTACATTCAAGACTAGCTGTCCCCGTGCGGCTTCATCCGCGTGGAAAAAACCTTTCTTTTATTGTCAAATTTATAATTCCTAGTGTCAACTTGCTTCCTTAATGTTGGCAGCTTGTAGTTTATAGTCCCTTTCCCACATGAAGGTTTTTTTCCAAATTATCTACTATCTAAGTTTAATAGACTATCCTCTACATCTGGGCCAAATATCCCCGGGATCCGTTCAGCAGTTTAGGCTACAAACTCTAACAAATATCCATCTAAACTTTTTTTTTTGAACATATATAGATATATTCAATTCAAAAGTACCAGGAGTGCATAAACCAATGGAGCATAATGTTAAATCATTAAAACTTGACTGCACATGCCTTTTCAAACTTCCACACCAAAGCACAATGGAAGAGGGTCCTTCAAATGGGATTAGACCCTTAGATCTATCCTGATAAAAGATTACGGCTTCTCTTAATTATATTTGTTACGATAGTGTTTAAAAAAATATACCTCCATATGTTAGATAGAATTTCAACTGAAATACGTTATACTAGCTTTTGCTCGCGACTTCGTCCGCGTGAAAAAATACAAGGAAATATAGCCGACGTTACTCACATATAACGTCATTTCAATGGTGTAAGATTTTTGAAATCGGGCCAGTTAGTTTTTGAGTTATTTCAATACGTACAAAAATACAAATCTTCCCTCTTTATAATATTAGTATAGATTTTAGACTTACCTATCTTTATGTTCAGCCTGTCTATCTCTTTGTCGTCTATTTTTAAACCAATTTGACACCTGAAACAAATAATATAACAATTATTCTATAGATATGACAGTGGTAGTGCCCGCTTTAACATGTTAGCAGTGCAGAGCACGCCCCCAGTAATACCACGACCACACAGAAGACAGCCGTCAAATGGAAGCAATTCCGTGTACAGTCTGATGAGTGTGGTGCCGGAGACCTAATTTAAGTCCCTTTCTCTTTACCACCCTTTTCTTATGAGAGAATGGGAAGGTGAAGTGGATTTGACGATGGATGAGATGCATAGAAGGGGAAATATCCTCTTTATGCGCGTCTCCTCCGTCGTATAAGGGTAGGTAACGCATCTGCAATTGCGGATGTCTATGGGCAGTCGCTTCGCCATTTTGGCGGATTCAGGTGGCCGCTTGCTCGTTTGCTACCTTATGTTATATAAAAAAAATACTGAAACGCCATTTTATATAATATCGTCTTCTTTACTAATCATACTCAAACTAATATTGTAAATGCGAAAATTTATATTTATGGATGTTTGTTAGAGTTTGTAGCCTAAACTGCTCAACGGATCTTGATGAAATTTTGCATGTATTTTGTATGTAGAGGATAGTGGGATAGAACACATAGATTACTTTTTTTTTAATTCCACACGAAGAGTCACGGTCGAAGGCTAGTTTAATATTAAAGTTTTAATAATTACCTGTACAGTAGTCAGTCCGGTGGTCTCTGCTAGCTCCCTTTTCTCTTTAGGCGAGGGATACGGATTGTGGAGGTACCAATCTCGTAGAACCGATCGGGATTTTTCCTGTTAAAATAAATTTTCATATTAAAATAACATAAATTAATTTTGTTTATCATAAGGTGGGTGATGAAGTGGCTACCCGAATTCGCCGGAATAGCGACGGGAGTGCTATCGATAAACATCCACAAATGTAGATTTATCGACTGAGGACGACAGAAAGAGGGCATTTTCCCTTCCCAGCCCTTCACTACAAAAGTGTGGGGTTTTTCAAGTCAAGTTTAGTGCTATCTCGTGTTTCTATTGACATGTAATAAAACATTTTACTAAATTATAATTAGCGCCATCTTTTGTTATAAAAATAAAATATTGTTAAAAAATAAACATTTAAATATCATTCAATGACACCTATTTAATTTTAAATTGACATGCAATTTTGGTAACAGTAGTGATGATTATATAAAAAACTAACTGTTGCCCGCGACTTTATCCGCGCAATATAAAGTTATTATAAAAAGTAGCCTATAATTTGCTGGAAATCGGCCCAGCCGTTTCGGGGATTACCCGGAACAAACGTGGCTTGCGGACAGACAGACAAAAAAAAATTTAACGTGATTTTGACTATCAGCAGACACTCCAATTTTGTTATATGTATAGCTGTCTCAAGTGAAGTGTCAACTATACCTACTCTATATATATTTTTAAACTCTTTGATAACAATACACGATGTCACTAACCTTAAAACAATAAGATGTTTCCTCGCCGTCCCATATAGTTCTAGGTAGGGGGAATTTGCGTCGCACGCGGTATTTACCAACCGCACCCAGCGGCCGCCCTCGGAGCCTTTCTGCTTCCATATAATGTGCTGAAAAACCATAAATAGACTTACAGGGCTGTCTGTTTAGAATGTGTCATCATCATTGTCAGGCATAGGTCGTCCACTGCTGAACGTAGGCCTCCCCCATTGATTGCCACAATGCTCGGTCCTGTGCCGCCCGCATTCAGTGCACTCCTGCAACCTTGACCAGGTCATCGGTCCATCTTGCGGGAGGCCTACCTACGCTGCGACGACCTATCCGTGGCCGCCACTCCACGAATTAGAATGTGTAAGTCTTGTAAATCGTATTCAATCACCGTCTTGTAATAATCTAGACAGAGCGATTTGATTAAACTATCGCACAACAGTTGCGAGGTTGTCGATTGTTTCATAGCCAATTGTTTCGTTGCACAACTAACAATCGAGTAGCACTTTCATATTAGCTTAAAGCAATCAAAGCAAGACTAAACAGTTGTGCGATTGTTCAGTTAGGTCTTACAAAGTTTTAGAAATTTGTAGCGGTTTTAGGTTTCTAACATATAAAGGCACAGATCCGTCTTTATGCTTCCAAATATTTTATCCCTTTCCACCCTTTTCTTGACAGGAAAGGATGGGAAGGAAAAGTGGATTTGACGGTGGAGGAGACGTATAGAAAGGGAAAATTTCCTCTTTATGTGCGTCTCCTCCTCCGTCAATTAAGGGTAGGCAACGCATCTGCAATTGCGGATGTTTATGGGCAGCGGTCGCTTTCCATTTCAGTGGATTTAGGTGGCCGCTTGATCGTTTGCCACCTTATATTATAAAAAAAATCTTATTAACAAATATAGTATCCTCCACAACGCGTTATCTGTACCTCTCATATAACGCGTAAACGATCCCCTATAACGAGAATATTCCCAATAAAATTTAATAGAAAACCCCCCTATAACGCGCTCTATAACTCTGACATGTTAGAAACAATTTATACGCTGGGATTCCTATAACGCGGAACTATCAAGCGTTGTTATAAGGAGGTAATGTACTTGCATTTTTAAAACCAAAAGCCAATTACATATTTATTCAGTTCAAAATGAATAAAACTCGTTCGAAAACTCAGATTTTGTTTTGTTCAAATATAGATTTGAACCTAGCTGTAGGACAACGCACTTATATGCGGTTTTATATTACGTTTACTAAGAAAATAAATAACTATGATTATTTTCAAACAACTATCGTGTAATTACGACAAACATACAAAAACATTAATATTTCCGTATTAGTTTATAGAAGACAAGTCATGTGTTAAAACCCTGAGTCACCGAAGCTCAGTCTTTTATTATCGTAATAATGAATCCTACGGGAACCGTAACTATTCCCGGGATAAAAAGTAGCCTATGTGTTCTTCCAGACTATGCTTTAAACCTGTGCCAAATTTCATAGAGATCCGTTCAGCCGTTTAGGCTACAAACGCTAACAAACATCCATCCATCTAAACTTTCGCGTTTATAATATCAATAAGATTAGCAGTTGCTGGCAACTACGTCCGCTTGAAATTAAAAAAATAATTAAACAATATAACCTATGCTACTAACTGATATTTTTTTAATGGTGAGAGAATTTTTAAAAACGGCCAAGTGGTTTTTGAGTTATTATAATACAAAAATACAAATTTTTCCTCTTTATAATATTAGTATAGACAAGAATCATTATCATTTTCACCGGTTAAAAAGAAATTGATAAATCTTTTAAACAGCTAAGAGGAAAAATAGTATTTTTGTATGTATTTGAATAACTCAAAAACTACAGGGCCGATTTTAAAAATTCCTTCACTGTTAGAAAGGTAATTTATCTGTGAGTAACATAGGCCATATTTTAATTTCACGCGGGCGAAGTCGCAAGCAACAACTAGTAATAAAATAACGTTAACAGAGGGCAGCTGTCCCTGTCTCCTACTTAGCGATGCCCATTTTAGAGGTCTGACGCTATTAGAAGGTCTATTTCAAGAAGTCAATAGCAACATACCTTTCAACCACAAGTTCTGAAGCTTCGTATGATTGTGCGGACTGAATGTGTGTGATTCCAGCAACCTGTAAAGTTCTTTAAAGTTTCCTCTATGGAAGGCGACCATTGCTTTCGCTTTTAGTACAGATTCATGAGCGTGCAGTCTCTCGCAGGCGGGCAAAGACCAGAGGAACCGGCCTAGGCGCTCTATGTTGCCAGCTTGTTGGAGGACCTGGAAAGAGGAATGCTATTAAAAAATATACCCATTGTGAAGACACTAGGGTTGCAAATCGAATGATTAAGTCGTCAAGATCGTGTATGTTTTTATGAATGACTAACTGTTCCCATGCGGCATCCTCCGCATGATATTATATCAACTACATTTTATTGTTTACATTTCTTAAATTCTCAATTGCAAATGTCAAAATATCAATAACCTTACTATGGCATCCTTGCTTCCTTGACGTTGGCAGCAACTTATGGTCCCTTTCCCACAGTAGGAAATTATCCAAAATATTTACCCCCTAAGTTAAATAGCGTGAAAATATATAGCCTAAAGCGTGACTTAAGTGAAACGTGACGTATTAATAATTATTCAAAAATATGCTATAATTGCTGACATCTTAGGCAACAAAGAAGTGTGTGTTTACGCTTTATTATAATAGTATAGATGGATGTTTGTTAAAAGGGAATTTTTATCAGAACTCCTTATCGGATTTTGATGAAATTTTCCACAGATAAAAAACATTGTATGGAAGAACACATAGACTACTAAGTTTGTTGTTAAATTATGCGAAGACGGATTCGCGGTCAAAAGTGTTAAATGCTTCAGATATAAATATCCAGTGCGTCAGTTATCCTAATAAATCTTTTTCCCATAACATAGTTTTAGCCTTAGGGCGGTCGCAAACATAATATTTGCAAGGGCCCAAACATGTGCTAAGACATCCGGTTTTTTTTCTAATGTAGCCTAAACAAACAGTCTGGACGAACTCTTAACAAACTTCCCGACGGTTTTGTTTAAATTTAATTTAATAAGCATGTTATTTTAATGCGTGAACGTGGTAGACAATATTATTTACGGTTTAGACCAGACATTTAAGAAATACATAGACAAAATTCACCGGTAACTTCTTTTTATGGTCATATCTTAATGTCCAAAACGCCGAGACGCTTCTCTGTTTTTTTATTATTTATTTGTTTGACTATCGGACACCAGGTAGCGTTAGTAAAATTATGTGAAAAATGTTTCAAGTGAAGTGTCAACTATGCTTACTCTATCTTACTAATATGCGAAAGTTTAGATGGATGGATGTTTGTTAAGAGTTTGTAGCCTAAACGGCTGAACGGATTTCGGTGAAATTCGGGACGTAGAGGATAGTCTGGAAGAACACAAAGGCTACTCAGTTTTGTTTTTTTTTTTTTTATTCCACGCGAACAGAGTCGCGGGCGAAAGCTAGTATATCATATATCTTGTATTTTTTTGTTTAGACAAACCGAAGAGTTAGGCTAAATCTGTCTATAAAGACAATGTATTTATAGAATTCAATGGATATGACAAAAATTAACCTATCTAAATTATTTTACAAGACTTCTATTTGAAATTGGCTACAAGGATATCTATTAAGTTAGTGAGGGTAATTTAACAGTGGTAGAGCCCGCTTTACCATCTTCGCACGGATAGGACCGCTCGCCCCCAACAATACCACGACCACACAGAAGACAGGCGTCAAGTGGAAGCAATTCTGCGTTTCGTCTAATGTGTGTGGTGCCGGAGGACCAACTTTAGTCCCTTTTCCTTACTACTCTTTTGGGAAGGGAACGTAGATTTTACGGAGGAGGAGACGCATAGGAAGGGGATATATTCTGTTCTTGCGCGTCTCCGTCGATTAAGGGTAGGCAACGCATCTGTTATTGCGAATGTCTTCGGACAGCGGTCGCTTCGCCATTTTGACGGGGTGGCCGCTTGTTCGTTTGCCATCTTTGATATTAAAAAGAGGTGTGGGAATGTATTGCATTTGTTTCATCAGTGGAAACAGACAGTTATCTTGTCCGTTGGAATTTCTAAGCGTGCGAATGTCCGTCAGTGTCTGCGAAACCGTTGATTCTGCGACATCCGATACGTTGGAAACGTGATACCCTAGTACTTGAGTCTTGTACTAGCTGTGAAGTTTTTTAGCCGGTTATTTCATCTAGACTTGTAAGGCTGGGAATACTCATGCCAGTAGCTGGCACACTTGTATGCAAATATTTTTTTTTTATAACATAAGGTGGCAAACGAGCAAGCAGGCACCTGAAACCGCCAAAATGGCGAAGCGACAGCTGCCCATAGACATCCGCAAATGCAGATGCGTTGCCTACCCTTATCCGACGGTGGAGGAGACGCACATAAAGAGGATATTTCCCCTTCCTATGCATTTCCTCTGCCGTCTAATCCACTTCCCGTTCCCCTCCTCTCCTTATAAGAAAAGGGTGGTAAAAGGGAAAGGACTTAAATTAGGCCTCCGGCACCACACTCATCAGACGAAACACGGAATTGCTTCCATTTCACGCCTGTCTTCTGTGTGGTCGTGCTATTACACCGGGCGTGCCGGCCCTGCAGTGCTAAGATGTTAAAGCGGGCACTACCACTGTTGTTAAAGCGAGCACTACCACTGTTGTTAAAGCGGGCACTACCACTGTTAAAATAGTATGTATCTATATATATATAGTATGATATTCTGACAGTTGACAGTTAAGTTGAGACAGGGAACAAGAGGGGGGTTGTTCCCGTGAGCCAGCCATCAGCATTTTTTGCCAGCCAGCATCATGCATTTTTCCAGCGAGAAAAAGAAGGGAACAAGGGTGTTACGAATTGTGATACCAACGCGTCTGGTATTGTTTGATCTCGTTGATTTTTCACTGATATGTGTGACTTGTCCCAGTAGATAGCACGTTCATAAGACGGCATACCAGCTTACTGGCATTCAATAGTATAAGAGTGAAAGATAAACAGTGATGAAACCCGCGTATTTCGTCATAAAAATATGACATTTACTTCCTGGTATTTAAAAAATAGCGTGTACTTTAATACATTTCTACATAAGCTGAGTCATGTAAAAAAAACTAAACCAGGTCTTTAATATGAAATACAATCGTCATCAAAAATCGACATATTTACTTACCAATCTTAATCATACTAATATTATAAATGCGAAAGTTTAGATGGATGTTTGTTAGAGTTTGTAGCCTAAATGGCTGAACGGATTTCGATGAAATTTAGTATAGATGTAGAAGATAGTCTGGAAGAACATATGAGCTACTCACTTTTGTATTTTTTTTAATTCCACGCGAACGGAGTAGCGGGCAAACGTTAGTCATACTAATATTATAAATGCGAAAGTTTAGATTGATGGATGGATGTTTGTTAGCGTTTGTAGCCTAAACAGCTGAACGGATCTCCATGAAATTTGGCACAGGTTTACAGCATAGTCTGGAAGAACACATAGGCTACTTTTAATTCCGGGAACAGTTACGGTTCCCGTGGGATTCATTAATTTTGTTTTTTAATGTTTACTCGATAATTATGCAACGGTTCAACATATCTCATTGAAATTTGGCACAGATATAAAACATAGTCTGGACTACACATGGGATAAGATTCATCCCCGAGAAATGTCCGGTTCTCGAGGGTTACGTAGCTTTTTGTTAATCATATAGTTCGTATGTTTTCTAATACCACGCGGATGACTTCGCGGGCAACCGCTAGTATATCATAAATATCTATAATATTATATTGAAGAATTACAGTATACACCCTTAATAAAATGTGAAAACCATCCCTCTAATGGTTTGATAGTATCAGTTACACGTAATTTGTGTAGGGGCAGGGTGAGATAATGGACTTAGGGCTGCCAAATGATTGTTGCAACCCTCAGGGTTGTTATAGTAATTATATGCAGATTTGTAATGCTATATTAATTGGAACGTTGGTGGTTAATAATTTTATGTTTTAATGGTAGACTGCAAAAAGGATTATCTACCCCTATACAAAGTAACAATCTCTTAGTTATATCCATACTAAATATAATAAAGCGTAAACACACTACTTCGTGGCGTAAGATGTCAGCAATCACAGTATATTTTTGAATAATTCTTTTTTTAATAAAAAACCGCATACTTAAGATACGCTTTAGGCTATACATTTTCACGCTAAATAAATTAGGGGGTGTGTAAATTGGAAAAACAATAATACAAGAGACAAATATTACTTGCCCTGCCTTTATTAAAAAAAACTTGCTAAATGTCCTTTTTTTTTTAGCGTGGGGAAATGCCAAGACGCATGCTCATCTTTATAGGGGTAAAGATGAGTGATGTTGGGCTTGCACCAACTAAAAACCCCACGGTGGTCTCCCACAGCGCTAATGCTAAATGTCCTATGTGTGCTTCCAGTCTATGTTGTCTAACCTTTCAGTCATTCTGGAGATGTCTTCAAACATCCATCCATCCAAAATTTCGCATAACTTACTAAAGAACATAGTTGTTATAGAATGCAGTATTTATTCGTGAGGCATTATTCGTTAATATAACCGGATAACACCCACCGACCGAAACCGCCCCTAAAACCCCGCCCCAAGTAACCGGATATCCGGCTAGCGAAGCCTGTCGTCATGGTAACTGTTTGCCTAACTTGATGAAGTTATGGCGCTTTTTGACTACCGTTCGATTGTAACTTAGCTTTAAATAGTGTTTTAAATAATATACTTAGATAAATAATAATCAACACTAATATATAGAGGAAATATTTGTATTTTTGTTTTTTTGTATGTATTGAAATAACTTAAAAACTACTGGACTGACTTTGAAACTTGCACTCTTAAAAAGCTACGTTATCACTGAGTAACATAGGGGTTTTTTTTTAATTTCACGAGTGCGAAGTCGCGGGCAACAGGTAGTAAATTATATAAGTACTAACTGTTCCAGTGAGGCTTCATCAGCTTGAAGTTATAAAAACTTTATTTTATTGTTTACATTTGTATAACTTACAATTGCAAATGTCAAAATTTAAATACACAAATGACAACGAAGGCTGTTGACATTGGATAATATTTACCGTTACCATAGCAACCTTGCTTTTTGATGTCAGCTTGGAGTTTGCATCCGTTTCCCACAATTTTTTAAATTTAAAAAGGTGGCAAACGAGCGATGACACCAAGGTGGTCAACGACTCCCAGCCATCCGCAACACCAGAGGAACTACAGATGCGTTGCCGCTATTTGAAGTAATGATAGGCACATAACTGTTTACTCCCTAATTTTAGAAGCGTGAAAAAATATAGCCTAAAACGTCTCGTGAGTGTAAGGTTTTTTATTATAATAAAAGGATAGTTATTACACATTTGTTGTGATTGCTGACATCTTATATAACTAAGTAGTGTGTGTTTACGCTTTATTATTAGTATAGATAGCTCATCATCATCTCCCCTGCCTTATCCTAGTCCCGTAGGGTCGGCGCACCGGGTTTTCCTCCTCCAAAGCACTCTATCATCCGTCATCTCAGTCATCACTCTTCATCATGTCACCTTTCACGCAATCCGTCCATCTCTTTCTACGTCTACCTCTACCGGTGTACCTCCACATTCAGAACTAACGTCCGTCTTGTTACATGCGATTCATCTCAACAATGTCCATACCACTCTAACCTTTTACTCCTTATTTTCTCTACCACTGGGGCTACTCTCAAACTTCCTCTAATATACTCATTCGTATCTTATCCAATCGTGTTACCCCACACATCGAATAACATTCTCATTTCGGCCACATGTCTCCTTTCATCCGTCCCTTTACCGCCCAACATTCAGATCCATACATCATGACAGGTCTTACGACGGTTTTGTAAATTTTCCCCTTTATTTTAAGGGGAATAGTATAGATAGATATAGATTATTAATATATCACAAATATTAATAAAACGAGAATAATTTTATTCTATCAGTCGTTTATTTCATCTATTTTAAAGTAGTTCTAGTTCTCATTTAAATAAATTTACATTATTTGGCAATTTTTAATATTAATATTAACATTATACATGCAAAAAAATACTTAGATAAAGTACTGTACTGTCAGTTTGTTCATTTTTCAAATATTACTAAACTATTTTACAATTTCTAATAATATGATTTTGTAGCGAATTGATAACGCCAAATATAAGTCAATTATCTCTGTCTACCCCTTAGATTACTGGCGTGTTATTTTCTTTGGAAAAATATCAAATAAAATAATATTATATCTCTTGATAGAGATATTTTTATATAAAAATATTCAGACAGTAGAAGCCAACGGTTAGAAATTATCGCCAATTTAACGAAATAACGAATGTTACTTTGATGGAACAATATGGAGAACGAAAGTTTGTGTGTATCATCATTAGTATTTTTTATTGTATGAGATAGTAAAGGAACAAGCAGTCACTTAAATTCGCCAAAATAGCGAAATTACCGATATGCGCATTTAAAGTTATCTACCATAAATTGACAGATGGGATGCACAGAAGATCAATAATTACGAATTTTAGTTATAGATAATTTTATTCTATACTAGACTTCGTCCGCGTGAAATTAAAATCTAGTAACATATTGCTGATGACGTAATTTTTTAATAGTGAAAGAATTTTTAAAAACGGCCCAATAGTTTTTGAGTTATTACAATACACCAAAAATATAAAATCTTTCCTCTTTGTATTAATATAGATTATAAATACGTGAAGTCGGGTAAATAAAATAGTTAACATAAATGACTATGATTTGTTAGTTTGTATTAAATTATAAAAACAACTATATTATAGCGATATTATATTAATATTCAAATGTTTGACATTTTAGACAAACCAGTTATAAGTAGAAATAAGGTTATTAAGTCCTAGATATGATTCAGAATAACAGTGGCAGAGCCCGCTTTAACATCTTCGCACGAATGGTCCGGCTCGCCCGGTGTAATACCACGACCACACAGAAGACAGGCGTGAAATGGAAGCAATTCCGCGTTTTGTTTGGCCAGTGTGGTGCCGGAGGCCCATTTTTAGTGCCTTTCCCGTCCCACCTTTTTCTTTAAGAGAAAGATGGATGGAAAAGTGGATTTGACGGTGGAGGAGTCGCATAGGATGGAGAAAGATCCATTTTATGTGCTTCTCCTTCGTCGATTTAGGGTAGGCAACGCATCTGCAATTGCGGATGTCTATGTCCAGCGGTCGCTTCGCCATTTTGGCTCGTTTGCCACCTTTTTGAGTTAAAAAAATGTAGAAATAATTAAAAAGAAAGATTTTTTTTCTAAACCTAAAAGGTTTCGACTTTTAAAATCTAACAGCTACATTGGAAATAGGTTTTTTTTAATTAATTTTATTGTAATAAAAACATGAATATATAATTAATTTAATATGATACAATATAATGTAATATTGTGAAATTGAAAATTATTGTACACTAGCTTATTACCGTGACATCGAACGCGTAGAAAACACAAAAGTAAGCCTATATGCTATTCTAGACTATGCTCTACATTTATTACAAACATCGAGATCTGTTCAGCTGTTTAGGCTGCAAATTTCAAACATCCATCTAAACTTTCGCATTTGTTATTAGTAGTTGGGGAATAGTTATTAGTAAAAAACTATTTTTTCATTAAAACTGGCCACTATTTCTTTTATTAAAAAAAAAGTCCATACCTCGCAAACGCACGCGACCTGCTCCTGTGTAAAACCGAAGCTCGGCAGGGGGGCGTCCCGGGGGGGCGTCGCCTCCCGCTGCCCCCATTCGGGGCCCCCCAGCATGTCCAAGTGCTCGTCCCCGGCCACTTTGACGCCACTATTTAACACCAACAGAACTTTTTGCGCACTTCACACTGGCCACTTATAACCTTTAAAACAGTTTTGACAGAACGCGCGCTTTTGACAAGACTCGATTGTCAAAATATTTCGTTTTGAGTTTTTGCTATTTTATTAATTATTCTGATATTATTTTATTTTTTAAAAACATCCGTCTTCACTTTTTATAACCGGCCAGTCCTGTCTGGTTTTAAACAATATATAGTTTGATATGTTTTTATTAGACTTATAAATCAATTTTACTGATTTTGTATATTTAGATGCACTTTCCTCTTGATTTTCTCTTCTTTTTCATTTTAGTTGACGTATACTTTGATGCTGTACCTAGAAAAAAGACACAATATTCAATTAATGTTTAATTTAATATTAAATTGTCTTCATCAGTAAGGTATTGAAAAATTAATTCACTCTAGAACAATCCCCCATATATCAGCTACCTTCCCGTCAAAATTGGCCAAGCCTTTCTAGGGATAATGAAACAAACGTGGCTTACGGACACATAGACAAAAACTTTAAATGGTTTTCAGTTATTACGAAAACATGAACTCAATACACATTCCATATTATTGACTGTAAAGATTAAAATAATGGTCCGAAAACTGGCAACATTGCGTTTAAAAATAAAATGTCAAATGGGAATCTTCATTCATGCAACAAACCAAAACTGTAAAGATCAATCAAAATTCAAATAAAATTTATCATTGCAACTGTCATAAATGTTATACATCATTTTTTATGGCAATCATAATTGATATGTGTTATCATCATCATCGCCAGCTCACTATACGTCCCCACCGAGGGGCTCTGTGCCTACCCTAAGTAAGGGGCGACTAGGCCATAGTCAACCACGCTGCACTGCGGGTTGACTTCACACATATCTTTGAATTTCTTCACCGATATTTGCACGATGTTTTCCTTCACCGTAAGAACGTCGGGTAAATTATGTACATAATCATCAACTTGCCCTTATGGAGGGTCGGCACAGTATGTGCTACTCTTCCATACATCTCTATCAGCCGTTATATCTGAAACCACTCCTTACCATATCCTCTTTCACACAATCCATCCATACTTTCTACGGTCTTCCTCTACCTTTGTAGCCATCCACATTCGATCTGTAAATTATGTAAATTATGGACATGAAATTCGAAAATCATATTGGTGCAGCGGTATTCGAACCCAAGACATGTAGATTACAAGTCAAGTGCTAACCCTACCACTGAAGTTATTAATATATCACCTCCTAATTGATATTATGTTAGTAATCAATTATCCATTATTTATAACAAAAATATCTTCACGTACAATAAAGTATTACCGAGATCAAGACAACAAAAGATTTACTATTTATTTTAAACAAACAAACAACGAAAGTGCACCTTACTTTTTTGTTTACAAAAATTCTCGAAAGAGATCCACATCTTTGATATATCTATCTCGTTCGCAATCCGTTTAGTTTAATGTGTGCGAGTGGGATAGTGAATCGTGAAGGGGCAAGATGTTAAATGCTTGGTGTTTTAAGTAATTTTTATCATCGACACGATCGCGGGGGAGGCCGCTGATGTATAGCTGACGGGTTAATAGTGATGTACTGACGAATATCGATAGATTTATTTATGGTTCATATCAATGGCACTAGAGTAGAACCTCGATAACTTAAAAACCTCAATAACTACAAAAAATATGTTCCCTTCCTATCAGAGGCGAAAACCTCTATAACATAGACCCTCGATAACTTAAAACCTTTATAACTTAAAATATTTTGTGTTTCCTTTGGATTTTAACTTATCGACGTTATACTGTATTTCACTGTTACAAGATATTACAAGTCATGGTAAAGGCTATGTCGGATAGTATTAGGTTATAAAACTACATCAAAACCAGGGAACATAAAACACTTCCGCGAATATCGCTATATCTAGTTTCAAAACCATAAATTTAATCTCTTTTTGAATAACTCAAATGAATTAGGATGATTCCAAAATAGACAAATAGGTTGTATTGTTAGTCTAGGTTCAATATCTAGTAGTGACAGGCTTTATTTTCAACTAGCTGTTGCTAGCGATTTCGTCTTCATGAATTAAAAAAATATAGCCTATGTCTCTCAGTGATAATGTAGCTTTATAATCGTGAAAGATTTTTTTAAATCGGTCCAGTAGTTTTTGAGTTATTCCAATACATACAGATATCAAAAAAAGATAAATCTTATAGTATAATAGAAGTATACATATAGATGTACGTGCAAAATGTTCAATTCACCCAAATAACAGGGAACCGTCTGACTAAACAATATGGCGGCTAAGCCGGAACCTCCACTTTCGCCCACGTTTTCTCGGAATTAGATCTAATTAAATTCTTCACGAATTGAAGGGCTTCTTAATATGAGCTGATATACTATAATTAAGTACGCTCCATAAAAAAATTAAATAAATGTGTGTGCGCATATGATAGACCAACTATATGTTTATGTATTCCCAACCGTCACCCCGCTCTATCCCCATCTTTTTCAACGAACGACGGTTGGAACTCATTTCATAACGATTCCATCTGTAACCTTATTGGTGATAATGGCACTAAAAGGTGGGACGGATGATACTTTTTATTCTCACGTGGGGACAGAGCGGGCTGACGGTTGGGAATAATCCTTTGTTTGTGTTAAGAACAGTCCGATTCATCTTAAAGAAAATTTGATATAAGTAAAACAAGTAAATTTACCCGAAAAGTATTCTAACGAGGAAGAAATCATTTTTTCGCAAAATTACCTTTCTTTTACCAGTTAAATACACAATAAACTAAAAATACATATATTTTAAAATCTATTCTCGCACGTTATTTTTTCCTTCCACTCTGGCGAGCCTCCAAATTCTATTATTTGTCAACTCGTGTTCTGTAAAAAGTTTGTCTACGGTATTCGTGTCAGAACTATTTATTTTGATTTTTGCGTCTCATGTACTTCAGAAAAACATCAACCTACTTACATTTTAGTGTTTTTAGAATTACATCCTACGATTATGTTCTAAATTATGTTATTAGATAGTGTTAAGAATCCGTCATCTCTGTCACTCCCTTCTTGATCATGTCACCTTTCACGCAATTCATCTCTTTCTATGTCTACCTCTACCACACTCATAACTAACGTCCTTCTTACATGCGATTCCTACTTATAATATTATTCTATGTTAATGACATTATGTTGTTTTTATATTATTGAAATTGTGAAGCAAAAGGTTAGCGTGGTACGGACATGTTATGCTGGGACATGGACCAGAAAATGTTAAAATTGAAAGTGGATGTCTACAAAGGTAAAGGAACACAGAAGAAAGTATGGATTGTGTGAAAGAGGATATGATTAAGAAAAGAGTGGATTCAGATATGACGGCTGATAGAGATGTATGGAAGAGCAGCACATACTGTGCCGACCCTCCGTAAGGGATAAGGGCAAGTAGATGATAAGTATATTCTAGATTATGTTCATCATCATCAGATGGTAGGACAGGTATGGACAAGGTAGGGGATCTCCCCTACTTTCACTATCTACTTTCATCCACCAAATAACTATCATCCGTCATCTTAGTCACTTCCTTCTTGATCCTGTCACCTTTCACGCAATCAATCTCTTTCTACGTCTACTTCTACCGTTGTACCGGTGTTCTAGATTATGCTATTTGTGATTTTTTTTTATGTCCATACCTAATACGTTTTCTATTACAATGCTTTACTCTAAAGTAACATTCGAACTTTTAAACAACTCACTTTACAAAATGATAAAATATTTTATTTTATAAAAAATAATATTTTACACGAATTCATTCTCATTCAATAAAATACAATACATTATGTTTAATCGATAACAAGCACATCACTAACCACCCCACGTGGCGTTGCGATCCTTATCTAACAACACCAGCTGTAAAACACAAGATTTATCGACAGATTGCTGCGCGCGATAACGCACAAATCACCTCACTATTTGTAATAACATTTTATAGGACATTCTTGAAATAATACGCGGCTATACCATATTTATTTTATTAATTAAATTAAAAATGTCGTTCCGTTTTATTATAACGGTAATTACATGTATTTTACGGTTACTGATATAATTTAAGGGCGTTTATTACTATATTTTTTAACTTACCACATGACATTAATTTTTGAACTATTAAAAAAAAAAACTTATTTTACCGAATATTTTTACGTATTTATCATTCCCTATATGCCTTGGATCCAAATAAATAAAAAAAATCTTCGTTTATGGTATACAGCTTGGAATTACAGATTATGTCATCGATGAGTTAAAAAGTATTATCTAGAACATATGGCCAGTAACAAACTGAAATTAAAAATAAATATTAGATACAGTTCTTTTTTTAAATCAACGCCGTTTCAAATAGGCCTAAAAGCGACCGACTCGATATTATCTGTAATACGTAAAACGATTCGTTTATGGTCACAGACGTTGTAACCCTAATTAATGACCGTGTGGTCTCGTATTACAAGTGGAATTACGACCCAAGAACATACATAAACATGCTTACATTTAGGACATATGTTTTAACATAATATCACTATACTTTCGGTGATTCAGTTTAAATTTATATGAGATTCATTTACATTTTATACGGAACAATCTTTTTTTTTGTACTTTCACATGTTAAATTGCCAGAGTTTTATCTAAATCATTTTTATTGAATAGTTTAGAACGAAATATTGGGTGGTCTGGACAATAAAGGATGTTTAGTGTAGTATGGTAGACGACAACAACCTCTGTTAGTTTGGCCAACTAGTCCGGTGAACTATGACCACACAGAAGACAAGCGTGAAGTGGAAACAATTCCGCATTTCGTCTAATAAGTATGCGACTTAGAAGCGATTTTTTCACTTTCCTTTCCCAGTTTTTATATGGAGAGAATGGCAAGAAGAAATTATTATGACGGAGGAGTCTATAGAAGGAAATATTTCTGTGTCTATTAAAGGTAAACTCATCTGTAATTACGGATGTCTATGGTCAGCGGTCACTTCGCTTTTGGCGAATGCTGGCCACTTACCCGTTTTATCACCTTATAATATAAAAAAAAATCATGTGAGAACATTTTCAAACCAATGTGTCCGTGAAGAATATACACATTTTCTATGGATTACCGCCTTGACTGCTGAAACACTTCTTTTTAAATATTTTTTATTCAGATAAAAAAGAAATAAACAATAATATGGTTTGAATTTGGAAAGATGTTTTGGTGGAAAAAGTTTTATCGTGGATGTTCAAATAACAATTAATAAAAACAACGCAATAAAAGAAACTGTATTATTTTGTTTTTCTAGCAACGGTCCCAATTATTAGTAAGAAATATTTACGAGGAGAAATATTAACAACTAAAACATCTACGGCGAAAATATAGTAATTTAAAACACATACAAACCATGTTTATTATGTATATACAAACATAAATGTTTCTCTATTTAAAATAAGCCCACTTGAAAAACGGTTACCTTCGCTAACCATAGACAACCAACAACAGAAGTAATTGTGTTGCCAAATTATAAAATAAACAGAACGGAAACATCGAAAACTCCTCTATTGTTCCATTTTCAAATTGGCAATAGGTAAGAGATGGAAACGCTGGGAAAAAGAACCTTTCATAACAAAACGCAGTTTAATAGGAAGAAACTTCACATATCTTTTGGAAGGTCGCAACAACTTCTCAGTCTATCCATAAGAATAATTATTTAGTTATAATTTTAGTAAAACTCTATCAGATATAACGAAAAACAATTTACTCTTCATATAAATGAGTATTCGAACTAAGAGTCAGGAAGCTTTTAACCACTAAGCTATCGACGTAGAATCACGAATGAAACTATTAAAATTATATTTAAATAAAAAATGCAGACTAAAAAGGAACAGAATTAATCACTAAATCTAAATGGCATTATAGCTTTATTTCCGTTGTATTAAAAATCGTTTCTTTTAAAAAAAATTCCTACCTCTCTCTTCGTTCTTTGAAAAGATGAAACTCTAATTTTTGGTAATTCTTTAGATTTACAAGATCTCTTTTTTAAAGAAACTATATAAGGAACTTTACTTCATATTATTTACTTTCCGTCGGCAAGTGGCACTGATTACTAAAATATTAACCCATAAGCTTTTACCGGCTTTTAAGTTAATAATAAGGAAGAGACATCTTGTCCCATACTCACATGCAACGCTCTAAATTAAGACACTCACACTCACATCGCACGAAGTTTAACAAGCTACTGCTAAAAATAACCACATCCAGTGACGAAAACCAACCTACATTTAAACCAAAAAAATCGTCCTAAAAATCACTTTATAAGGTCACACATTAATAATTTAAAACAAACATCACTCTACCGCACAATTTCATCCAAATACGTTATTCGAAATCCCGCATTGAACCACATAAACGTTGGATCCTTTTTAACGTCAAATACGTCCACACTATCCGAACGCTAAAAAGGAACTGGTTTGACATTAACTTCCGTTCTCGTCTCTGATTGGTCAGATGCACGCGGAACGTCGTATCCACCAATGAAGTGTTTTTTGGTATTGCATAGACAACGCCTTCCATTGGCTTTCATCTCCGTTCGCCATTTTTCAACGTTCCTGAACAATTGTAATTATTAAAGTAGGCGGTTAACTATTGTCGGCTCGGAACCATTTGGGAATATACGATATAAAAATATACATCACCCCCACATGACAGCTGACGTAGTAACAATAGTCTGTCCGAAAAAAAATCACGTGAAAAAAAATTAAGGACTAAAACCAAATGTACACGGAAGAACAAAAAAGCTTTTATAAAGCTGCGTTTATCAAAGTTCATAAAAATCTTAATCATGTAATTCTTGCGATTTGGATTAAAAGGTCGTCTACTTACAGCCCGATTTTGGACCTATACTAAGGCCTTTGCCTCTAAATTTTGTTTCCCTTTATTTGTCAATATCGTTGTTCCTACAAAATGCTGAGTATTGGTAATCAATTCTAATCGTAGCAAACCAAACTCTATTTAATAAGGAAATAAATTACATCAGCTTCTAAAATATCCTTAGCTTATAATATCGGTGATCATGCGGCCAGCCGATGATTTAGCTAGGCTAAACCTAAGGGTTCAGCTTCCGTCAAAATGGTCAAATTCATAGTAATTTTCATGTTTATTTTACACTAGCTTCCGCGAGTCCGTCCGCGTGGAATTAAAAAAATATAAGTGAGTATATGTGTTCTTCCAGACTATTCCCTACATCTGTACCAAATGTCATCCAAATCCGTTCAGCCGTGTGAGCTTCAAACTCTAACAAACATCCATTCAATAATAAAAACTTTCACATTTATAATATTAGTAAGAAAGTATGATTTTTGGAGTCTCTAGTGGGGGGCAGCTGCCTCCCCCTGCCTCTCATGGATTTGTACACACCGTTTTATGCAAGAATTCTTTCAGTATTTCATCCTACTTACTCAAGTTTTCATTACGTTATGAGTTAGCGTAACCTTTTTTATAAGTCTCTGTTTTTGGCGAAAACGCTATACCTATTAGTTTTTGTCTGAAATAACAGTGGAAAGTAGACACGAAAAAGAACCCTCATATAAAACACACAGATGACTATGTTTTAAACAAGTTTCTCGATAATAAAAACACACAGAAAATACAAATCTTAGTAATTGAGACATTAATGAGTCAATCCATGTGTTCAAATAAAACACCACTGTTATATTTGTAGAAACAAAACATACGTCTTATTCTTTATCAAAGGCGGGACTTGAAGTTTGCTCATTTCAATCCATTCTTTACATTATAAAACACCTTAAAACAACCATAGAGATTTTACAATCGTTTTGAAGTAAAATGAACTTTGTGTTAAAGGAATAAGGTGAATAAATATGTAAAATGAATGTTGTTTTAAACATATTGCATTGAATATGGTCATTATACGCTTATTTGGTGCTTTTGTCGTCGGCTTTTGAGGGGTCCGCGCGCTTTTGTTCGATGACGTTTAGCGGTAGACATCTTGTTTTCGATGTCAAAAATAGGGGCGTTGATATTAGAGTTCCGTATCAAAATAAAATATATTTTAATTCTAATATTATCACGTTAAGTATATTTTCTATTTTATTAAATATTTCGATAGAAAATGGATTCTTATTATGATTTTTAACTAAGTTGACATATATGTTTTTAATACGTAAAAAGTCAAAAGCATATAAGTCTTACAGCCAGAGACATAGGCGTTTTTTTTTTTATAATTTAGTATATAAAACTCTACACTAAAATGAGAGATTACACACTACACTAAAAATAGAATAAATTTTCGAGAATTCTCTCATTAAAGTCATTGGTCCTTAGACGAAATGTATAAATTCAAAACTGTCTACAGAACCTTTAAAATATTTTTTTTCGGTTGTCGGTAATAGCAGCAGTCAAGTACTACACAATGCAGTAAGATCTCAAACACGATAAAACATGGGCTCTTCAATACAAGGACCTTTAAATAATTTTCTAATCGCGTTTTCCGCTTGATCGTATCTTTTATATTATCTGCGACATTTCCGCATTGATTTAAAAGGAATAAAATAGCACAATATATTGTTAAACATTAGAATAGGATTTAAGTACATTAAATGTTTATTGAGTTTTTTTTTTTATAAAGGACATTGTCATCATCATCTTCCTTCTTATCCAACTCCCGTAGGGTGCAACAGGTTTTTGTCCTCCACATAACTCTATCATACGTCATCTCAGTTTCTCCCTTCTTGATTATGTCACCTTTCAATCAATCTCTTTCTTTGTCTACTTCTACCGGTGTACCACACTCATAACTAACGTTCTCCTTGTTACATGCGATTCCTTCTAACATGCTAACATCCTAACTTTACTCCTTTTTTTTTTTTTTATAACACAAGGTGGCAAACGAGCAAGCGGCCACCTGAAACCGCCAAAATGGCGAAGCGACCGCTGCCCATAGACATCCGCAATTGCAGATGCGTTGCCTACCCTTATACGACGGAGGAGGAGACGCACATAAAGAGAATATTTCCCCTTCCTATGCATCTCCTCCACCGTCAAATCCACTTCCTCTTGCCAAACTCTCCTTAAAAGAATAGGGTGGCAAAGAGAAAGGGACTTAAATTAGGCCTCCGGCACCACACTCATCAGACGAAACACGGAATTGCTTCCATTTCACGCCTGTCTTCTGTGTGGTCGTGGTATTACACCGGGCGTGCCGGCCCTGCAGTGCTAAGATGTTAAAGCGGGCACTACCACTGCGATTACCTTCTCTACCACTGGGGCTACTCTCAAACTTCCTCTAATATACATTAATTACTTAATCTAGGACGTTGTTAGTTTAAGCATGATAAAATCAGAAAGATTTGTGGAATACACGTGTATTACCCATTTATACTTCTAAAACGCATGTATCTATTCCATTCTGTCTAAAACAACAGTGGTAGTGCCCGCTTTAACATCTTAGCACTGCAGGGCCGGCACACCCGGTGTTATACCACGACCACACAGAAGACAGGCGTGAAATGGAAGCAATTCCATGTTTCGTCTGATGAGTGTGGTGCCAGAGGCCTAATTTAAGTCCCTTTCTCTTTCCCAACCTTTTCTTATAAGGACAGGATGGGAAGAGGAAGTGGATTTGACGGTGGAGGAGATGCATAGGAAGGTGAAATATCCTCTTTATGTGCGTCTCCTCCTCCGTCGTATAAGGGTAGGCAACGCATCTGCAATTGCGGATGTCTGTGGGCAGCGGTCGCTTCGACATTTTGGCGGATTGCCGCTTGCTCGTTTGCCACCTTATGTTATAAAAAAAACAATTCAATTATTATTAATATTTCTTCAACGAGCTGTCGTCTGCAAACTTCACTATCGAAGGCCACTTGTTACGCCATTTTGACAGCACGAAATTTAAAAAAAAAGTAGTCTGTAATATGCCTATCCATGTTAGTTACCCTCCAGTGAAAGTCCCGTCGAAATCGGCGCACCCGTTTCGAAGATGGCAAGGAACAAACGCGGCTTGCGGACAGACAGACAGACAACATTTTTTTAAATGCGATTTTCGTTATAAGCAACGTAAATACATCATCTTCCCGTAATCTGGAATTTTTCTTTTGATGGTACAGACACTCCAATTTTATTACATGTTAATTGCAAACACATGTTAATTGTTCGTTTATGCAGACAAAAGCAAGCAAAAGCATCTAGTATTTAAATAATTAAAACCCAATTAATAACATTTAACACTATCTAGTTGTGGAATAAATTAACAAGTAATTGTGAAGTCGTCGGGAGGTTGGGGTTGCCACATCAATCTTTATTGTGGGGTGTTAACAATGTGCTTAGTAATGACATAATGCATATTGCCACTGTGCTGTTTTAGAGTTCCTTAAATAGTTTAAAAAAAAAACTGTTTTTAAATATTTCACAAAGTTATGATAAAAAAGAAGCTAGCTGTTTAATTATAATCCATTCTTATCTTACTTCTTACTAATATTATAAATGCGAAAGTTTAGATGGGTGTTTGTTAGAGTTTGTAGCCTAAACAGCTGAACGGATCTCAATGAAATTTGGTATAGATGTAGAGGATAGTCTGGAAGAACACATAGACTAATCACTTTTGTTTTTTTTTTAATTGCACGCGGACGGAGTGGCTGGTATTAGACATTACTATAAAAACTATTAAGAATGTAACTCAATTATTTCTTTTAAAAGTTAATGTAATTAAAAAGTTACCTATTATTTTCAACATTCATATTTGTTACTATTCCAAAAAATAATTTTTATTTTGTACGGAACGTAGACTAAACTTTTACTATTAGTGATTAAAAAAAACTACGGAACCTCTAAATCTTTTCCCCTTGCGAAATGATTGTGCTATTGATGTAGTTAGCACTATTCAAGTTTTATTACTTCTCTAGTTAAAGTTATTATAAATAGGCCATTTTAACAACATTGGTTATAATTTTTATGTCAAATTGGCGGGAATGTTCGTGCGGGAATCTGTTAAATTTGTTTTTTTTTTCTGCAGTTATGTGAAAAGTTATCTTACAGCCAAAAATCATAAAAAATTAAATTAATATCTCCGTCGATGTGCCGAAAATCTCTTTCGTATGGTAAACCGGTTTTGTCTCGCGGTGTTTGGTGCTTAGGGAATAAGTACACAAATTTTGTTTGTTGTTAATTTATATCTATACTTCTATACTCATATTATTAATAGGAAAGATTTGTATTTCTGTATGTGTTAATAATTCAATATCTACTGGGCCGATTTAAAAATTTCTTTAACCATTAAAAAGCAACACATAGGCTACATTTTATCACGGGAATAGGTTCCCGTGGGATTCATTAACTAAGTTTTTTAATGTTTACTCGATCATTCTGCAACGGTTCATCATATCTTATTGCAATTTGGCACAGATATAAAACAAAGTCTGGAGTACACATGGGATAAGGTTCATGATTTTTGTTATTTCTATAGTTCGTATATTTTCTAATACCACGCGGACGAAGTCGCGGGCAACAGCTAGTAGGCTATAATTTTGAAATTTCACATGGACGAAGTCGCAAGCAATAGCTAGTTATTTATAAATATTTTTTTTAAATCATACTTTTACGTACGTACGTACGTACTTTTACTTAATCATACGGTTTCTTATTGCTAAATAAAAATTAGCAATAAGAAACCTTGGTAACGATGCAATCGCAAGTAATATGTTACTAATATTATAAATGCGAATGTTTAGATGGATGGACGGATGTTTGTCAGAGTCTGTAGCCTAAACGGCTGAACGGATCTCGATTAAATTAAGTATGGTTGTAGAGTATAGTCTTGAAGAACACATAGGCTACTTACTTTTGATTTTTTTTGACCGACTTCCCAAAAGAAGGAGGTACTCAATTCGTCTGTATGTTTTTTTTAAATCCACGCGGACGGAGTCTTTATAGTTTAAGTTATTTCGTCACATTTTAATACCTAAAACCGATTAATCTGTAACTCTTTTCGAGTCATTTAAATTATATTAAAATAAATACCTGTTTTTTTTTTTCAATTTTAAGGCAACTAAACTAACAAAGGGAACCACAGTAATTCATATTGTAACTGATATCTTATCGTCAGAGATAATAAATTGGTAAATAGGCGGAGCTAAATTAGCCCCGCCCTCCTTCGAAGCCTCATTCCTCTCGCTCACACATTTCCCTATAAGGCTCTATATCAAGTTGTATATTTCATGTCCAAGTAAATTTTTCCTCTTTAAGATTCTTTACGTAATTTGACCTAAACTGATTAGAAGTCAGCGGTGTTTATTATGAAAATTCTTACCACTTCTATAAATTAACATAAATAATTTCAGCTCTCTTATACAATAAAATATATTTTAAAAGCTGATTTCTCGATTAAATCTGCCCTTTATATAAAAAAAATTGTCTTCAAGAACTTTACACAAGAAATATGGCATTTCTACGTCAAATCTCCAAGCCGATATAAACATTACGATAGTAGAATAGTCGCTAACACTAAGGTTTAGAAAAAAAATGAGCGTCGTAAAAATCTCACATAGGAAGCTATTAAAAATAAAGAATTCATATTATTTTTAATTTTTTATTCATAAAATGCTCCTTGAAGGAACACTACCTACTTGCATACTTGCATTTTTACATGTAATTAAATTCGACAATCAGTAGCTGGTATTTAATACCAGACAGCGACATCTATAATCGTCAGGAATAAACTGTCTTAAACTAAATTAACTGTCGTCTTGACCACGCGGTTTTGCTTATTAGAAACATTTTAGTTATTATATCAACAGAATTATGAAATCATTAGATTGTTATAAAAATGCACGTAATTAATAAGACATTCCATTTCCAAAATACGGATATAAATATAATTGTCTTGCGCTGCCTGGCACCGAAATTGTTACATGAAATTGCTTATTGGATCATGTCTCATTTGCATATAAATCGAAAAGACTATTTTGAATCGATTTACGTAATCCATTTGAATGTGCATTAACGATAATGTGAAGGAAACATTTTTTTTATATTGAATATATTACATAAAAAGAAATTAAAAATATGCACAAATATGGCCCCACAAAAACCATATAATTGGTTTGTCCGCGGGTGCGCTGGTTAGATTTACAAATAACATATGTAGAGTGTCGTAGTGGAGTGTAGGATAGTTTTGACATTTTTTTTGTGTAATATTACATAAAATAAATACATACATATAAATAAAATATTCTGTTCAAGGGCTATTATCAAAAAGATGGCTTTCCAAACGTTTAACAAATAGTTTAAATTTTGAATTTAGATTTGCTATTTCAGGTGGTAAGTTATTGAGCATGTATGGTTAACTTTTTCAATTGTTCTGTCGCTATCTACGTGAATCTATATCTATTTTAGTTTTTAGTTTCGTATAGACTTAAAAACTATTGGACTAATATTCTTCCACCTGTAGAAATCTGCAAATAAAAATCCAAGATAAAGTGCTATTCTATGCCAATAGTTGTAAATAATAACAAATATGCCGAGGTCCTCATTATTTTTTCCCCCTCAAAACTTTTTGATTACAGGTTTTCATTTTTGCTACGCTTTTAAATCAAGGCGTTAAGAAATCAGAATTTAATTTGCGAATTCTAATATAAAACAAAATTGGTATTCAAAACATTACTAAAATCCTACATTTCATGTTATTCAATTGATATTACAGAAAATTAACAAACCATCAGAGTTTTAAATTCCATTACACGAATTATTTTGATCGCATCTTATTTACTCTGTGACCAAAGTGACGTAATGTCATGTTAGTCATCTATTATCTATGTCGCAGCAAGACCAAGCGAAGCGAGTGGAGGAAATGCACGGGATTAGTACTCTGTTGAAATAATACGTCATCTTTTATTCCAAAGCGATTTCATTTATAATTTTGATTACAGTAAGCATTTTTCATTAAAACAGTAAGTAAAATAAACTACTACAACACAGTACTTTTCCGTATGTTACGGTTGCGTTGTTTGGTTTATGGTGTAGTGCTATACAAATGCATAATATAACCTATCTGCGCTTTGCATAAATCTATGGGAACGTAGCCTTGTAATTGATGCAGAATCAAGTGATGTGGATTTGAGAAGCGTATACGAGTAAAAAAAGTAACGAAAACGTTATCAATCAAGTTCTACAAAGAGAAAAGCGTTTGCCGCGCTCTGTGGTCTGTTTATTGACGCGTCCATTGCAATTTGCAGGCAATATGCCGGCGGCGCGCGGAGTAAAACGGACGGCGTCCAAATCTTCGGCCCCTGCAACAACCACAGGACCAAAAAACAAGAAAAAACGTGGAGGTAAGAGTTAGAACAATGTTACGGACATTGTTTTCTTTACATTTCATTACAACGTCAATGACCTGTCAAAGCATGATGGCGGGAAACGCGTCGCTTATATCGAGGTTTTAGTTGGCGCTAAAAATATATTTTAACTTAAACTAATTTGTTATTCATAGGTAATATGCATTATAAATACTGGCACGTTTCTCTATTATTACAATTATCATATTTAGCTGTAAAGTTACGTAAGCGTTGTCTTAATGGAATTTTTTGAGGTTAACAGATACGGATCGCTAAGTTTGGACAAGGCGATATATCGGCTTTAAAAACTATAGTAAGAAGTAGGAAATTGCTCCTAAACTATTAAACCACCTTTATTAAGGCTTATTACGTTTATAAAACAAGAATAAACACGAGTTTTCGTTTTGGCGCCATATTTCTGTTCAGTAATTTTGGCGCGTTCTGTTCAGGGAAATATACGTTCTTAGAACTGCTATAGGTAATGAATTTGCATTGCAAGTTGTAACGGCGGTTAACTGTATGTTACAAATACTTTCTCTTTACACTTATCGCGCGTTTATCACGTTTAAATATTTTTATTAGCACACGCCCTAGTTAGAATTTTGCAAAAAGTAAAGAAAATTTCAATTGTAAATTTAGTGTTTTGTACTTTTTAACACTTTTTCGAAGTTTTTATGAAATGTTCATTTCTCTTCACATAGAAAATAATGTTCTTTTCATACTTGCTAGTTTATTATTACATTTATGCTGAAATATTGCCTTACATTTTGGTGATATCAAGGCATTATTTGTTACAATTTTCATGTATTAAAAAATAATCCATATAAAGTTCCTAAAGCCATCTCAATATTGAAACATTATGTAATATGTTATCTATACTCTTTTATTTCTGATAAGAAAATTGTGTCATTTAAAATATCTTTAAATGAAACCTTGTACAGAAAACTTGTTTTTATTAGTCATCCTTATAAGTGGTTTTATTCAATAATTAACATAATTCAACTGAAAATAAATAGTGAAGAAATTCAAAGATATGTGTGAAGTCAACCCGCAGTGCAGCGTGGTTGACTATGGCCTAGTCACCCTAACTGTAGGGTAGGCTCCGAGCCCCTCAGTGGGGACGTATAGTGAGCTGGTGATGATGATGATGATGATGATGATGAACTGAAAATACAAGGAAAATTTTGCAAGACTTTTGTAAATTAATTCCACTTATAACCACGGGTCAAAAAAGTTTTTTAGACTATTATCATAATAATATTATAAATGCGAATCTTTAGATGAATGGATGGATGGTTGTAAGAGTTTGTAACCTTTTGATTTTGTATAGATGAATTTGGTATAGATGTAGAGGATAGTCTGGAAGAACACATAGACCATTTTTTTTATTTCATGCAGACATAGTAGCGGTCGGAAGCTAATCATACTAGTGTCATAAATATGAAAGCTTAGATGGATGGAAGTATGGTTGTTAGAGTTTGTAGCCTAAATGGCTTAACAGATTTCGAAGAACTGAAGATGTAGAGGATAGTCTGGAAGAACACATATGCTACTTACTTTTTTTTTAAATTCCACACGGATGGAGTCCCGTGCAAAAGCTAGTAATATTATAAATGCGAAAGTTTAGATGGATGTTTGTTAGTTTTTAGCCTAAACTAAATTGATCTCAATGAATGTCCTAGATGTAGAGGATAGTCTGGAAGAACATGTAGGCTACTGATTATTTTGAATTCCATTTGGATGAAGATTTTAGAATGGATAAAGTTAAGAATGTGTACATTAGAGGAAGTTTGAAAGTAGTACCAGTGGTGGAGAAATTGAGAAGCAAAAGGTTAGTGTGGTATGGACATGTGCGACGAGACGATGGGGACATAAACCTGAAAGTGTTAAGATTGAATGTGGATGGCTACAAAGGAAGAGGAAGACCGAAGAAAGTATGGATGGATTGTGTGAAAGATATGCTGAAGAAAGGAGTGGATTCAGATATGACCGCTGATAGAGATGTATGGAAGGGCAGCACATACTGTGCCGACCCTCCGTAAGGGATAAGGGCAAGTGCATGATTACATAGATGAGTCGGGGACTTAAACTAGTGATATATAATTTATTAGTTATGTTATATTATATAACAATTAAATGTGATTGTCTTTATCTATGTAGGATCAAGGTCGAATATGTTTACTATTCATTGCATAATGTTTAATTACTTTGTAGAATGAGTTGTTCTCATGCTTTATGCAGATAAATAATAAAAAAGTTTATTTTATTATTTACATTTGTCAAATTCTCAATTGCAAATGTCAAAATTACCGCTACCTTGCTTCCTTAATGTTGGCAGTTTTTAGTTTATGGTCCCTTTCCCGCATGATGGTTTTTTCAAATTTATTTACTTCTCTGAGTTTATATCGTGAGAATATATAGCCTAAAGTGTGTTGTAAGTGTAGGACTTTTGATTAAAGTAAAGAATTATTCTAAAATATACTGTAATTGCTAACATTCTACGACACAAAGTTTTTTGTGTTTACACTTTATTATATTAGTATAGAGTATAGATATTATGGTGCGTCGATGGCTCAGTGTTTAAGCACTTGACTTGCAATCTACAGGTCTTGGGTTAGAATCCCGCTGTACCAATGTGATTTTTTCGAATTTTCATATATACATAATTTACTCGACGTTCTTACGGTGAAGAAAAACATCGTGATGGATGCACATATCGGTGAAGAAATTCAAAGATATGTGTGAAGTCAACTCGCAGTGGGCTAGCGTGGTTGACTATGGCCTAGTCACCCTTACTTAGTGTGGGCTTCTAGCCCCTCAATTGGGACGTATAGTGAGTTGAATGAATGGATAGATATTATGTTAAGTGTAGGCAGACTTGTTACTTTTTTAATTAATTTGTATATATTTTGTATTGTAGCGGTACAATTGGAGATACCGAGTGCTCCTAAGAAGCGAGGCCGCGTGTACACATGTGGGCAGGGAGATGTTGGACAATTGGGACTCGGAGAAGATGTTGTGGAGACAACAAAGTGAGTATTATTTTTAATTTTAACTACCTTTAGCCCGCGACTGCATCGCTTGAAATTAAAAAAAATACAGATAAATTGACTACCTCTTTTTGGGAAGTCATTCAAAAAAAGTAAGAAGCCTTAGTTTTCCAGATTATCCTCTACATCTTAAGACAATCATCAAGATCTGTTTAGTTTAGGCTACAAACCCTAACATCCATCCATCTAAACTTTCTCATGTATAATATTAGTAAGAAGTAAGATTAGAAATTTTAAAGGTTTTTTTTTTTGGAAGGTTATTTAGTTTTTAATGTTTTGATTGGTATTTTAAACTTTATATTCAATATGTTAAGGTTATATATTTTTTTATTACTACTTGTTTATTTAAACTCGTTAATTACTAGACTGATTTAAAAAGTTCTTAGCTTAGCTAAATTATCATTGATGTGATTTAATAGACGAAGTCGCGGGCTATATCTTGTACTAATTTTATTTGATATTTCGTTAATATGTTTATAATAATTGTAATAAATAATTGTATATTTCAGGTTCAAATATGTATCAGCACTTGGTGATAAAATAGTTGATATCCGAGCAGGAGGGATGCATACTGTGGCTATAGATACTGATGGAAAGGTAATCTATACTAATATATAGAGTAAAGATTTGTATTTTTGTATGTATTGAAATAACTCAAAAACTACTGGGCCAATTTCAAAAATTCTTGCATCATTAAAAAGCTACATACTTACTGAGTAACAGGTTTTTTAATGGTTTTATTAATTTCACGCGGACGACGTCGCGTGCAACAGCTAGTAATTATTCAAATTATAAACTGTAAACTTCACTTTGATGGATTTTAAACAAAGTTAAAATTAATATTTTTAAAAATACGCGGTTTACTAAATTCCGTATATTTATTATTTTTTAATGACGTATATCTATAAAGTTTAATTCTTATTCATTTTTTAATAAATTTAACTAATGTATGAAAATATTGATAAAACTGATCTTTTTAGTAACAAAACCCTTAATAAATCCACTAAGGTCGCAGAAGGGATGTAGTTCAAGGGCGGGCATGTTTATATTCACGGGCGCGACCCCCGCAACGCGCTCTATGGGGTTAAGATGTTAATGACCTCACGTGATTTACGTTTGAAATACATCGCAAACCGCGGGCAAAAGCTACTAAAAAATGTATACCTTTATGTCCATATAGTTTTTGAGTTCAATACATACAAAAATACAAATCTTCTTTATAATATTAGTATAAAAAAATTGTTTTAACATTTAAATGCATGAGTTTTAGTAAATTGAACACATATCAAGAGAAAAATAAAGATTTTTTTAAATAGTCCATTATGTGTGGACGAGAAGACTGATGTATAAATGCATCATGCATTTAAGGGTTAAGTAATAACGTTACTTTAAGTTAGTTACTTAAAAGTAATATGTATGTAATTTACTTGTATTAATAAGTTTTTTAAATAAACATTCCAGGTGTGGACATTCGGATGTAATGACGAAGGTGCGTTAGGACGTATAACAAAGAGTGACAAAGAAGAAGGCACTCCGAAGACAGTGGAATTACCGGAGAAGGCAGTAGCAATTTCAGCTGGTGATTCTCATACTGCTGCCTTATTGGATAATGGTGATGTTTACGCCTGGGGAGCTTTCAGAGTGAGTATTTTACTAGTTTAAAATATTTAAAAAAGTTTTAAACACACAAACTATTCCCATGTGACTTTATCCGATTGAAATTTTAAAAAGCTTAATTTTACTGTTTACATTTGTCACATTCTCAATTGTAAATGTCAAAATTACCGTTACCATAACCTTGATTCCTTAATGTTGTCAGCGTGTAGGTTATAATTTAATTAAAAAAAATGTGAAAACATCCTACGCTACGAAGTAGTGTGTGTTTACGCTTTATTATATTAGTATAGATATATAGATGACGAGCTGTCGCCCACAAACTTCGTTAGCGAGGATTTTTTTTTTAAAGTCATTATCACATTCCCGCGTGCATCTACCATCTACCAGCTACCTTTCAAAATCCTGTCCGCTCCACCCGTGCCAGAGATAGCGCTCCGGTCGACATTTTGACAGCGCGGAATTAAAAAAAGTCGGCTACCCTTCAGTGAAAGCCCGGTCGAAATCGGCCCAGCCTTTTTTGCTTTGATATGTTTTCCTTTGATATTAAATAGAATAGAAATAGAAATAATTTTATTGAAAAACAAGAGATTAACAATTACAATAGCAGTTATACCAACTGAAAGATAATTACAAATTGTGGTTAATATACGATTAACCTTTATTACAAACAGACACTCCAATTTTATATGTATATAGATAAATTATATTATGTTGTACTAACAGTGATAATTTATGAAATGGCAGGACTCGCACGGCAGCATGGGGTTGGTGGTGCGCGGGCGCGAGACGCGCGGCTGCCCCGAGCCCGTGCGCGTGGACGTGGCCGAGAGCGCCGTCGCGCTCGCCTCGGGCGGCGACCACCTCGTCATACTCTCCGTCAGTTGCTTTACACGTTACACTTGCATTACACTACATTGTACTACATTATACTACGTTACACCACATTACACTACGTTACACCACATTACACTACGTTACACCACATTACACTACATTACACTACGTTACACAACATGACGCCACACTAGCTACACTACATTACACTGACACTATACTACATTACACTGCGTCACACCACATTACACTATATTACACCACATTACACTACGTTACACCACATTGTACTACGTTACACGACATGACGCCACACTTGCTACACTACATTACACCACATTGTACTACGTTACACCACATTACACTACGTTATAACACATTACACTACATTATACTTGCTTTACACTACAATAAAACCTCGATCATTCAAACCTCCGTAACTTAAAAACTTCTATAACTTCAATAAATAATATGTTCTGTTCCCATCAGAGGCCAAAACTTCTACAACATAGACCCGTGATAACTTAAACCCTCTATAACTTAAAATATTTTATGTTTCCCTCGGACTTTAACTTGTCGAGGTTCTACTGTACATTATACTGCGTTTCACGATACTACACCATGTTTCGTTCTATTACACTACGTTACACTCGCACAATACTGTGTTTCTTAACACATTTAAAAAATATATAAACAAGGAAACCTAAAGATTTTTTTATCGGTACTATTGATAGATACTCAAAACCACATGTATTATAAATATGTAATTAACTGTATTTAAATTGACTATAGGTGTCATTAAATTTTGTTACACTTTATTTTATAATGTTAGGAATAAAATTAGTACCGTGCTGTAGAGTTGGCGCAACTCTAGGTTATCTGCATAAACGGCACGTCCCTAGCTGACAGCTGTCAATGTCACTACAAGTATGGATAGATTGGCGCGCATCCTGAGTCTTTAAAGCGACAGTATCAATTAAATAAGTTGTCTAATAATAACAAAATATGGCGCTTAATATAATATAGTAAAATGTTTTATTACATGTCAATACACACGAGATAGCACTAAACTTGATTTGATATAGTGCCGGAGGCCTAATTTATGTCTCTCTTTACCACCCTTTTCTTATAAGGAGAGGTTGGGAAGAGGAAGTGGATTTGACGGTGGAGAAGAAGCATAGGAAGGGGAAATATCCTCTTTATGTGCGTCTCCTCCTCCGTCGTATAAGGGTAGGCAACGCATCTGCAATTGCGGATGTCTATGGGCAGCGGTCGCTTCGCCATCTTGGCGGTTTCAGGTGGCCGCTTGCTCGTTTGCCACCTTATGTTATAAAAAAAAAATATAACCTTTCAGAGAAAGTACCGGTCAAAAAAGTTCACCTCGTATATATATTATTTATATGGCTTTGGTATAATTGTGTATATTGTATGCAGTCGTCGGGCGCGGTGTACAGCATGGGGTGCGGCGAGCAGGGCCAGCTGGGCCGCCTCTCGCAGCGCTCCGCCTCCAGGGACGCGCGGCAGGGCTTCAGTAACTTATATTCATTTAATAACATTATCTTAACACTACACGATTAGAAATTAGAAAAAAAAATTCCATACAATAGAGCCCGCTTTAACACCTCCGCACTGTAGGGCTCGCCCCCAACAATACCACGATCACACAAGACAGGGGTGAAGTGGAAGCAATTCTGCGTACAGTCTGATTAGTGTGATGCCGTAGCCTAATTTTAGTCCCTTTCCACCTTTTTCTTAAGAGGATTTGACGGTGGAGGAGACGCATAGGAAGGGGAAATGTCCTCTTTATATGCGTCTCCGTCAATGAAGGGTAGGCAACGCTACAATTGCGGATGTTTATAGGCAGCGGTCGCTTTCCATTTCGGTGGATTCAGACCGCTTGCTCTTTTGCCACCTTATATTATTTAAAAATGTAATATTTATTTTCCAGGTGCATTATTGACACCGGCGAAGGTGACATTAAAAATGGGTGCATCTCGTGTATGGGCGGGATGTCATGCCACATTCGTGTTGGACGCCAATGGGGACAAAGTATTTGCATTTGGGCTAAATAATTATGGACAACTTGGTAAGTACCAATACTATCAAATAATTACGCGTGAAATTAAAACATATAAAAATGTAATCTATAGCTTTCGTCCGCGACTCCGTCTGCGTGGAATTAAAAAACAAAGTAGACTATGTGTTCTTCCAGACCATGCTCTACATCTATGCCAAATTTCATCGAAATCCGTTCAGCTGTTTAGGCCACAAACTCTAACAAACATCCATCCATCCATTCATCTAAACTTTTTCATTTATAATATTAGTAAGATATTTTGGTTCTGGGGGAAATCTTCGAAAGATACCCTGTCTTTTTTGTAAAAAGATAGTCTTAAGTCTACCTAGGTTACCCGTCTTCCCCTATAAGACTATCTTCTATCATCCCCACTCCCGGTAACAAAAAACCTAGGTTACCTAAATCCGAAAGTCATATAGTGTGTTACTTCCAGGTATAACAGGCGAGAAACGTAAAACAGCGATATTCTCTCCAATGGAATGTGATGCGTTTACTTCCGCAAGCAGCACGTGGTCTGCGGTCGCTTGCGGACAGCACCACTCGCTGGCTACGGACGGTAACGGACGGCTGTACTCTATCGGACGTACGGATTACGGAAGGTGAGATAAAGTTACACTTAGTTATGTACAATCGGGGTACTTAGCGGTGTATTATTTGACCGGTACTTTCTCTGAAAGGTACTATATCAAGTCAAGTTTAGTGACACCTCGTGTTTTCATTGTTTCGTGTGCGATATACTTTGTTGTTTTTGACATTGAAGTGACAACTGAGTGAATGTGATGAATGAATTGAATGAAATGTGACGATTGACGTCACGTGTCTCAAGTTAACTCCGGTCGCGTTTTAGCCGCATTAAAATGATCGTTTTTGTTTAGCTCAATGGTTAAATGTTTATGAGTCAATATTTTGGAGTAGAAACGTTTGAAAAAAAAATGCATATTCCCTACTCGGCGGCGAAGTTTGCCATGGCAAGTGTTAAAATTGGAGGGCGGAGATTATAATTATAGATTCATCTGGCCTCATCATCCCTAAATCATCACCTCATCATCTGTGAAGCCCATGTCAGTAAGCTGAACATCCACAGGTTAGGTCTGGGCGAGAGGGCGGAGGATGCGGAGGTTCCGGAAGTGGTGCCCAAGTTGCAGAGCAAGAGGTGCGTCAGCATAGCTGCCGGCATCGCCAACTCCTTCGCCGTCACCGACACTGGTGAGTACCATACATACATACTTACTAGGGTTGTAACGGAGGCCATTTCGAAGTTCCGCACTTGCGGATGTGGAAGCGGAGTTCCGTTATAACCCTAGTTCATACATCCTCCATCATCATCCACTTATCCCTTACGGAGGCACAGTATGTGCTGCTCCATACATCTCTATCAGCCGTCATATCTGAATCCACTCCTTTCTTAAGCATATCCTCTTTCCCACAATCCATCCATACTTTCTTCGGTCTTCCTCTTCCTTTGTAGCCATCCACATTCATTCTTAACGCTTTCTGGTTTATGTTTCCATCTCGTCGCATAACATGGCCATACCACGCTATGTATTGTATGTATGTATACATCCTCCATACATACATAATGTAGTTGATAGTCTTTTTAATTTATTTAATACGATGTTAATATTTTGAAGCATTATTAAAATTAGCTTACTCTTGGAGAGAAAAAGAATGAGTAAAAAATATATTTTTTTAAGTTTGTAAATATTATAAAAAGATGTGAGATATTAAGATTTTTTTAATTTTCACGGATTGGACACGAATTTTCACGGAATAATTCGCTTTGTAAGTTCTTACTTACCTATACTAATTTTGTAAAAACAATATATTTTGGTATATATTAAAAAAACTCGAAATTCTTTCACCATTAGAAAGGTAATTTATCTGTGAGTAACAAAAGCTATATCTTTTTATGAAATACTTTAAAGGTGAGGTATTCTCTTGGGGTATGGGCAGCGAGGGCCAGCTGGGCACTGGCGCGGCGGCGGACGCCAGCGAGCCCACCGCGCCAGTCGCGCCCCACGCCAGCGCGCCGCTCGCTGTCTCCGCGGGGGGACAGCACACTGTCCTACTACTGGTCAGTACTCACCATATATCTATACTAATATAATAAATCGTGAACACACTTCGTGGCGTAGGATGTCACAGTATATTTTTGAATTATCCTTTATTTAATAAAGTACCCTATACTTACGACACGCTTTAGGCTATATTTTCACGCTATTAAACTTTGGGATCATTGGAAATAACCTGTGGGAAAGGGACCATAACCTACAAGCTGCCAACATTAAGGAAGCAAGGTTATGGTAACGGTAATTTTGACATTTGCAATTGAGAATTTGACAAATGTTAATAAACTAAAGTTATTACAATTTTATGCGGATGAAGCCGCACGGGAACAGTTAGTATACTAATATTATAAACTTTCTTTCGCTTAAAGCTTTCGCGTTGAATTATAATTACTAATATTTTAAATATAAAAGTTTATATTGATGTTTGTTAGTTTGTAGTGTTTGTAGTGTAAACCAAACAGATCTCGATGATTGTCATAGATGTAGAATAGTCTGGAACAACACATAAACTACTTATTTCTGATTTTTTTAATACCACGCGGACGAAGTCGCATACTAAAACTAGTATACAAAAAAGTTTAATTACTTCAAACAAATATTTAAACATTTTCAGGAGGAAACAAAAGAGTTATCACCGCCTCCAGAGAATAAAGCAGAAATAGAAACGCAAGAAGAGACGACAGAAGAGCAGGAGACGGAAGAGAAGAAGCGGCCGGCGAAAAGACAGAAGAAGCAAGAACAAGATGAAGAAATATCCTCAACATCGACTGCGCAGTCCGCGGAAGCGAAACCGGAGGTAACTAGAGGAATTAATTTCCTACCCATGTACATGTCAAATATTTCACCAATGGATTAGTAAATGAATATTCTTAACTACAGAAACAGTACATAAACACTACTTACACATAATAAAATTATAAAGTCTTCTCTAGTTCGAATAGTAATTTTATTATAATACCGCGATGAATTTTTTAGGATTTTGTCAGCAAAAACCCTTAAATACCTAGTTTCTTTGATATCGGGGTTATATCTCATTAGGTTACAATCGATTTTATCTTAATATTAGCATCTTTGTTATATTTGATAATCTTCAAGAAAACGAAATGGAGCATATAACGTAAATATACAGTAGAACCTCGATAATTAAAGTCCAAGGGAAACAAAATACTTTAAGTTATTAAGTGTCTATGTTGCAGAGGTTTTGGGCTCTGAGGAAGGGAACATATTATTTGAAGTTATAGAGGGTCTACTGTATAACGTTTTGATTTTTAACAGTGGTAGTGCCCGCTTTGACATAGCACTGCAGGGGACGCCCCCAGTAATACCACGACCACACAGAAGACAGCCGTGAAGTGGAAGCAATTCCGTGTTTCGTCTGACGAGTGTGGTGCCAGAGGCCTCATTTAAGTCTCTTTCTCTTTACCACCCTTTTCTTATAAGGAGAGGTTGGTAAAGGGAAGTGGATTTGACAGTGGAGGAGATGCATAGAAGGGGAAATATCCTCTTTATGTGCGTCTCCTCCTCCGTCGTATAAGGGTAGGCAACGCATCTGCAATTGCGGATGTCTATGGGCAGCGGTCGCTTCGACATTTTGGCGATTTCAGGTGGCTCGCTCTTTTGCCACCTTATGTTATAAAAAATACTATTTTTCCCCATTAGTTAAAAACTCAGTAAAGATACATTTCGTTTTGGAATTAGATATAAAAAATCAGACTTTTAAGGGTTAAATTTAACTAATTCATTTTCATATTACTATATAAAATACAATTATGTTATTGTGTTTATTGTTTGATGTTTAGATTATTGTTTTACTAAGAAACTTCTTTAAAACGTAATTTCCAAGATAAATGAGGGTTAACCCTTAATAATTTCGTATTACTATATAATACACCCACGAATGTGTTCGTTGTTTGATCATTTTAACTCAAAAATGCAATTTTTTGTTTTTTTTTTAAAAGTAATTTGCTAAAAGTATATGGAAGTTAAAATGAATACATATGTATAGAGGAAGAAAAAGCGCGTGGCGTCGGCTCGGCGCGCCCCCACCGCGCGGCGACACTAGTCTGTGGTACTTCGCACTTTTACATTATTTTATACTATTATGACACTTGTAAAAAAAACTAAAACCCACAACCCTACATTAAATATAAAAATGTAAAAAACTTTGACTATTAAATGACAGGATCTGCCAAACTCCGTTGTTCTAAACGCTCTTTATATGCTCTCTATCTAGTATTTTATTTTTACGTAAATGTCTTTATAATGTGCACATTTATGTTAATTCCTAAATTCTAAAAAATCACTTTAATGTGACGTTTGCTTAGTCCATTTTTCTATAGTCGAAGTCTATAAAGGGAAGAATACGAATTGAATAGTTTGTCAATGTTGCCCTCCTAAAAATCGAGTAAAAGTGTACAATATGCGCATTATATTTAAACTAGCTTACGCCCGCGACTCTGTCCGCGTGGAATTAAAAAAAAAACAAAAGGATTTAGCCTATGTGGTCTTCCAGACTATTCTCTATGTTTGTGCCAAACTTCATCGAGATCTCTTCAGCAGTTTATGCTACAAACTCTAACAAACATCCATCTAAACTTTCACATTTATAATATTAGTAAGATAAAATGGACTTATAATTTTTCAGATTTCAATACATTTTTACAAGTGTCATAAAAAAACGTTTGTAGATTGAATTGTAATGAAAATAAATTAAAAACTGTTTTAAATATATATGTAGATAATGAAATAGTTCGGTGAAAGGTTCCATAGTAATAATTTGTGACGTCCATTAACTTTGGAATTGGTTTATAACAGTCAGCTGTATAAAAATGTATATGTTTACAAAACTAGATATATATACAATTTCGAATTTAAAATACATATTCGTTCATAAAAATACAGTCGAAATCTTATTAATATTATAAACTAGCTTTTGTCCGCGACTTCATCACTGGAATTAAAAAAACAAAAGTGATTAGCCCATGTATTTTTCCAGACTATCCTCTACAAATTTCATCGTAATCCATTCAGCCGCTTAGGCTACAAACTCTAACAAACATCCATCTAAACTTTCGCATTTATAATATTAGTATGAAAGTATGTGAAGATTTATATATGTTAGAGTTTGTAGCCTAAAATGAAGGGATTTCGATGATTGTCAGTAGAGCAGTCTGGAATACATAGGCTTACTTTTTTAATTCTACCCGGACGGAATCGCGGGCTAAAGCTAGTATATACATATTTTTGAACCCGAGATTTATTCAACCTTCTGATGCAGAAATTCTCAAACTTATTGTATTTGTCATCCAATTTAAAAAATATATTATTTTAGAGTAACCAATTTTTTTTCTTCTTAAAAACGTCAATTATATCAGTCTCGTAGAGTTTAAACTCTTAATAAGAGTATTATTTACTCTAAAAAAAAAACATACAGACAAATTGAGTACCTTTTGGGAAGTCGGTCAAAAAGTATTTGTTCCTGATTTCCAGAAAGTCTAGACAGATTTTAATAAGACTTAAGATAGATGTTTGCTGAAATGTAGGTTTTTCTTAATTCCTAGCTGACTAGAGACGTATGCGAGGCCCTACTTTAATCCCTTTTCCTACCTACCCTTTTTCTTATAAGAAAATGATTGGAAAGTGCATTTGAAGTTGGAGACGCATATGAAGGGGAAATGTCCTCTATATATGCGTTTTACAGACATCTATTGCGAATGTCTGGGCATCGCTTCGCTATTTTGGCGAATTCATAAAAAAATGCATATTTATGCAGTTGACTGTCAAGTTACCATGTCTTCTAACTTAATAAGGGAATATTTATATAAATGAATTATGTTTTTGACAATAAGTAATTTTGTAGAAATATTATTGTAAATGTTTTGGTAATGTAGGATTTTCGTCCAGTTTTAAAATAACTATGGTTGTATGGTAAAGTATTGGAATTTTGGAGTTAGGAATTTATGTGCATGGATGGAAAATTGAATTAATTCAGTGTTTGTAATTTTTTTTTATTTCTTTTACAGAAAGTAAACGGAGGTGAACAGAAGGAGAATGCAATGGAAGTAGACGAAACTGGTAAGTGCATACGGAGTTACCCTTTTTGTTAGATTACTAGCTTTCGCCCGCAACTCTCCGCGTATTAAAAAAGTAAGTAGCCTGTGTTCTTCCAGAATATCTACATCTGTACCGAATTTCATTGAAATCTGCTGAGGAGTTTAAGCTACAAACTCTAACAAACATCTATCTATCTAAACTTTCGCATTTATACTATAATATAAGCAACTTAAGTTTACAGAATAAAACCCATCAAAGTTGGTGCCTTTAAAGTTACTTTAAATTTCATATCTATATTACAACTAGAACATTTGAAAAAAATCTGCATTCTCTGTATTTAAAAACTTAGTAAGTAGGCTATGTGTTACATCCATAACAAATTACATCTCAATTTTTTAATGATTAGTTTTTTAATAACTAGCTGTTACTCGCGAGATCGCCTGCGTGAAATTAAAAAATACAGTCTTATGTTACTCACAGACATTACCTTTCTAACGGTGAAGGAACCTTTAAAATCGGCCCAGTTTTTGAGTTATGTCAATACATACAAAAATACAAATCTTTCCTCTTTATATAGATTTTGTTAATACATAACATATACTTTGCAGATAAGCCAGATGATAAACCAGAAGACAAAAAGCAGGAACAAGAAGAGAATGAAACAGAACAAGCGAAAGACATCCCCGATACGATGGATACATCAAGTCAGGAAACAACGGATAGTGAATCCAAAATGGATACAAATAGTCAGTCGGTACAGAACATGGATACAAATAGACAGGATTGTATACAAGCTGACAACGCCTTGACTACCTCCGCGTGATCCCTCGGATACTGGATAGTCGCCACTAAGGGACACACTTAGGCTCTGTCCCACCTAATTGTCATCCAATGTGTAAAATATGTGGAAATATCAGATTTTGTTATATCTGATGACGTCATTTATCTGAGTCTTTATCAGCCAGGTGGGATAGGCCCTTAGTGTAGTTTAATGTCATTTATTATGTATTTAAATCCAGGGGTCAGTAATTCAATAGTAATGGGAAATATTTCTAATTGATAATTTTTTGTCTATTTTTTGGAATATTCAAGTATTTTAAATTGTATGATGTGTTTTTTTTAATAAATTTAGAAAGTATAATTTTTCATTTATATCGAAATTAAGTAAATAAATGTTTAAATTCGTTGTAAAATCTTATTTTTACGAATAAACAGTTAAAAAAAAACTTATTATAACTAAGTAATATTTATTTAAAGGAAAATATTGTTGCGTTTCAAAAACTTTGGTATCAAATAAATTGTTGCTGACCCCTGGTATGAAATAATCGTGTAATCTACACTAAGGGAAGTACTAATTGTCCATTCAATTGTGAATATAGTAGAGATTTAATACAAAATCTTTACTAATCAACTTTTAGTGTTCTGGCATTAAATCTACACTAAGGCGTTCCCTTAGTGAAATAAGCCTTTGAGTCAGTGTAAAAAACTTTGAAAATGTTTCACTCAGTAATAAATATATGAAATGGTTAAACGTTATCAAATGGCAGACATCAAAAGGGTATAGGCAGAATGTATAGTTTGATATTAAATATAAAAATCCACCCTAAAACCTTGAAATCTTTGTATTAAAAAAAAGTAAAAAAGCCAATTAAAACGCTCCTTAGCATGGATTTTTATATTTTTGGTCAAATATGAATATATTTTCTAAAAAAAATGTATATAAAATGTAGTATTACCTTAGGGTTCTAGTAATACTATATTACTTAGCATATAAACTTACGTATTTTCATTCGAATAAAAATCATTGATTTTGTAATGCATAGAAATTGTCAAAATTAACATTTGTAATTAACAGGGGAGGGTATACAGGAAGGGGAATATACTTCATGTATTCTCTGTTCATATAGTAATCAAAATCAGGTAGTTTGATATTAAAAAATGTTTATTTTTGTAAAGTACTGATTTCTAGAATTATCAGGTTGTGGGTTATTTATCAGTTTAACTTAAAAAGCAAAATTGTTTAAATTGTTATCCGTACTTTTATCATTCTGCCTACCCCTTTTTTGATTGCGCATATGAATATTTTTTTAAAAACTATTTTATTGTTTACTTAAAGTGTCTTAAAAAGTGCATTTTATAAACATATCCAGTTGTTATTTGCACAAATAGTTAAATAAAAAATGTTAAATAAAACCGAAAGACTCCACTGCGGTGATTTGAAAATACAGGGTTTTTTTTAATTACCAGAAAAAAAACAAGCATCTATACTAATATTATAAAGAGGAAAGATTTATAATTTCATATGTATTGAAATAACTCAAAAACGATTTAAAAGCTACTTACTATAGGTTATTTTTTTTTTTAATTTCACCCAGGTGAAGTCGCGAGCAACAGCTAGTTGACAATATGAGAATAAAAAAACATGTTTTTGACAATAAATACATTTAGAATGTTGACTCTGCCTACCCTGCAAACTGCACAGCTATGGCTGTACATCTAATATTTTTAAATTTAATTTAACACAGATAGTTGAGTAAAAAAAAACAGACTTACGGTAATTAGTAATATTTATTACCTTTTTTCTGGTAATCAAATAAACACCCTGTATATTGTCTTTATTTTACTAATGTAAGTGAAAGACAAAATTATGCGAAAAAACTGTTTTTAAAATGATGTAATTATTAATATCTACAGAATATTGAAAAAAGATTTTTTTAATAATTAAAGTAATTTTTTTAACTATTATTTGTAAATGAAACTTTAACAGCAGTGGAGTAACACTGCTCACACCAAAACTGTAACGGCTTGAAACTATCCAGTTAACTGACTAGTATTTCTATATTATATATCTTTTATTCGAAGTTTGTGAACACAAGTTGTATGAAAAAATATGGTTTTTAGTGTCAAAAAAATTTTTTTTTTTTTTTCAAAAATAACGTTTTTTAATTATTTAAATCTGACTGATGTAAGTTTAATTTGAATTACTATAAAAAAGTTTTTTTAATGTTTTTTATGATTGACTTTGTTTCAAAAAATATTCCTATTTTAACACGAAGATAAAATGTTCACTTAAAAAACTTCGAATAACTTCAAGTAATCACTCGATATCGAAATTGGAGATTTTCTATGTTTGTTAAGTAAGTTTGATGTAAATAAAACATTTTTTTTTTATATTTCAAATTAACTTTTTCCTACTCAAGTTAAAAACCAAGTTAAACGGTGCCTTAACTTTAACAAACAAAAATTAACACATTTTTCGCCAATTTATCGTTTTTTATTGAAAAAATATAAGTGAAATCATTCTTTGTTCTTAATTTTTTTTTTTTGAATATTTCAATGTAAAACAAAAATGCAATATACTAATAAAATGAAGTACAAATAGTTTAATTCTGTTGAAAAATGTTTTATTTACATAAAATTTCAGAGCGTTTTTTAGGCGTTTTTAAAACGCCCAGAAAATTCCAACGAGCGGTATAAAAACGCTACTAAAACGTTTCGATGTGATTACACTGTACAATAGTATCCAGCTACTTTAGTAGCTTAAATATAAATAAAACCGAGGTTGCTAGAATAATTAAAAATATTTTTAAGTTAAGCGCGGACGGAGAATGGCTGCAAAATACATTCGGGAGCAGACAATCTAGATTTTAGATCATTTCGTTGGACATAAAAAAAAAAGTTTTTATTTTATATAGAATTTTTTTCGTGCATGATTATAAAAGTACAAATGTACGTTCTCTTTCGCGACGCTGTTTCTTAATTGTTAAAATAAAATGAATTATAATGTATTGTGTTTTCCTAATAAAAGCGGTAGAGTATATTTGACTATTTATTTTCATATCACCTTGTACAAAATCCCTTCCGACCTTTGACTATGGAGAAACGGACTAAACAGAGCTGATAAAAGCTATTAGTGTGTCCAAGAAAGACGTACAATGGATAAAAATTCCTTGGTGAAAAATATGACGATTTGACCCAACTTCTATCAAAAGTTGCTCTTTTTGAGCTTTACAGGGCTCTAAAGTTTACTTAATTCTACATTTATTCAATATCTCTAAAACCTTTAAATAATTTTATTCAAATTGAAATTAAGCTACACTTTTTCATAGAACAAGCTCTTGTTATAAAATCTTCAGTTCGAAAACAATAATATCAAAGCAATTTTAATCATTTTTGCAAATGCCGATACAATCTATTTTTACGATAGGCAGAGAAAAAGCATAGAGTTAGTCAACGATCAAGTTTTTTTTTTATCTTGATACTGACCTCTGTACAGCTATTGTGTAACTTGTTGCCGTAATTTTAATAGATCACAACCATATTTTGAAATTTTACTAATTTAAGGTGATTAAATTACAAAATTCTGTTTTATGAGAAAACCGTTGCCCAATTTCAAATTTTAAAAGAGGCACAAAATGTTTTAAACTGGCTATCCGAGAAAAAATATGACAATTATGGTACAGGCGGTTGGAAAAATATGAAATTATTTGTTTAACTATGGTTTCAGTATTAAAAAAAATCGTATATAGTTTTTCAAGTAATTTGAATAAATGTTAAATAGCTTAGAGCCCAAATTAAGAAACTTTTTTTACATAAGAAAGCCTTATGAAAACAAACAAACATTTTTTTCAATATTTTATTACTGAATTATAACAATTACAGTTGTAATTACGTACTTAAAATATAAAGCATCGCTCTACGACTTACAAAATACACATAACAGGCTGTGCGCTAATTTTTATCTGTGCTTTTTGGCAGGAAATATTCGAAATGTTTCAAGCGAATATTTTAAAACCTTAACAATAAAATGGAAGTTTCTAGTCGTCTATCTCCCTCACTCTCAATTCAATTCAATAGCAAATTGTCTTGCAATTCAAATCTTAATTCATCCTCAATATGGATTGATTTTTTATATCAATTCCATTAGAAATATATACTCAAATAAGTAAAATACATATAATTACATCTATTTTTATTACATCTTATATATTACGAAAACTACAGCACTTTGATATATTGAGACATTGAAAAAGCGTAATACGCAAATTTAAACTCAAAATATTTATATAAAAAAATCCTTCCATTCTTTTTATAACAGACGTATGTAAGACCAGAAAAATAGAAAAACTTGTTTTGCGACAAAAAAATAGTTACTTTTACCACAATATATGAGTTTTTTTTCTTGGTAAAAAAAATGGAATTTCACATTTATAAAACTAAAGAAAATGTCCTTTTACAACTTTTAAACAAAATAATACACAAATATGAAACAAACATCGATTATTGGAAACATCTCAAACTGACCAAATTTCTCCATATATTTGAAAATTAACAAATATTTTTTAAATAAGAAATAATATTCGAGAATCAAAATAAAGATACTTTTTTTACGATATTTTGGATTATAAAAATCCTTTAATCAAAAAAATAAAACACTCATTTATTTTTCAACATATATCTGCAAACATATTCTTTCAGGTTATTTATAAGTTTGTAAAAATGAACAATCAGTACGAGATGATATCCAGTATACAAAAAAACTCAAATTACACAAATTAGAAATACAAATAAAACTACTGGAATTATTCCTCTCCAATTTCAGCATCTTCACAGTCTGAAAATAATAAAAAAATATTGGTTTTACAATCATTGATAACAGATGGCGCTGACAACAGTTGGTAATATTTGCATTGACTAAATAAGATAGATTAGTTTGATAACGCATATGAAGTATCAAATTCAATTTGTATGAAGGTAAATGCCATACTTAATATACAGGTATCGTAGTGACGAAACAAACTTTGTTTTACTTCGGTTTGGGTTTTACCAAACCCTTGAGCCACTGAGGCTCTTAAACAGTGAGAATATTTAAACCTTACGACCTTATGACTTCCTTTAAAATACAGACGGACGGCCATATTAACAATACTTGTAAATTACTTTAAAACACACAAACTAAACTCCGATGCGACAAAGCAAATATATCGAATGTTCTAGTAAAACACTGAGCTTGTTGGCGACTGAGCCCAAGCCACTCCTTGCCATATATTTTATAAAACTACCCCCACTATTCCTTCCGTTTCCTAATATTTTCCTAACAATATTGTTGTTTTAAATAAAGATAAATGTATTGATAAATAGCACAGATTAACAAATTTAAGAATAATTAAAAAACTAACATTACCTTGGTAATGTACTCCGTTGGAGTTCTCAAGGCGCAATTGTCTCAAACGTTCAGCGGGGGCTTCCTCACTCTCTTCTGCATCTTCAAATTCTTCCTCACCTATGTAAAGTTTTATATAAATAAAATTTATAATATCCTAATGCACGGGTTGTGAACATTTATGTATTAACTTAGCAATTTTTGAATATTTGTTGCCATCTTGGAAACTAACAAAAAATTTTGATTGATTATTACCTCAATTCTATGCATGGAAATAACATGCGTTCGTTTTTAATATTACTTCATGCTTTTTCAGTTTTCTTTTACCATCGGCGTGACAAAAATATTGTATTGGGTGCCATTTAAAGCAGGCGGCCATGCCAAATCTGTCCTAGTCTATAGGTCTATACTAATATTATAAAGAAGAATTTGTATTTTTGTATGTATTGAAATAACTTAACTACTGGGCCGTATTAAAAAATTCTTTCCCCGTTTAATAGCTACGCTACCAATGAGTAACATAGGCTATATTTTTAATTTCACGGAGACGAAGTCGCGAACAGCTAGTATATTCAAACATTCAATTTATTGTAGACTAGATATTGGCCGCGACTTCGTCTTCGAAATTAAAAAAAAATGAATTGAAAATAAAACACACAGCCTATGTTAGTCACAGATAAAATACCATTCTAATGGTGACAGAATTTTTTAAATCAACCCAAGTCTTTGAGTTATTTCAGTATATACAAACTCTTTATATTATTATAGACTAGTTGTTACTCGCGACTTCGTCTACTTGTAATTAAAAAATGTTACTCAGCGATAACATAACAATTAATTGGGCAAAGAGTTTTTGAAAATGGCTTAGTAGTTTTTGAGTTATTTCAATACATACAAAAATACAAATTCCTCTTTATAATATAAAGTACAGGGACAGAGTTAGAATACATTTAATTTCAGATGACCCTTTAAAACCAACTTACCTTCATTAAAGTCCTCTCCATCAAGGTATGGATCATCATCCACCTCGTCAGTGGGGTCAGGGTGCAGAGACTGACCCTGGCTCATCGCAGAGTACAGCTGCTGGAGATCACCTTCATCTTGTGGTACAAACCTGGAACCAGAGATGGAAATAGGCAAGATGTAACATTTTTTCACTGGTAACTTCTTTGAAAGGTACTGTTATTTGTCAAGTTTAGTACAACCTCATATTGTGTTTAAAATATAAGAATAAAATATAGCCTATGTTACTCACAGATAAATTACCTTTCTAACTATGAAAGAATTTTTAAAAACAGCCTAGGAGTTTTTGAGTTATTTCAATACATATAAAAATACAAATCTTTCCTCTTTGTATTAAAACTAACTTTCACCTGCAACTCCGTCCGCTAGGTATTATTAAAAAAAAAACAAATATCCTATGTTTTCTTCCAGACTAACTTCTACATGTATTTCAAATTTCATCACAAACTATTCAGAGGTTTAGGCTACAAACTCTAATAAACATCCATTTGTCCATCTGTCCATCTAAATTCACATTTATAATGTTAGTATGATTTTTTACTATTTTTTTTTTATTCAGTGCAGATGAAGTCTAGAGAAAGCTTGTCATGTTACCAATCCTTACCGTAACTGTGTGATGGGTTGGTCATCAACATCAAAGTCATCATCATCATCACCTCCATCACTAGACTGTGCTGTCAGTTCTGGTAATCTGGAAATATACATTTATTTCATCATCCTGTCATTACTGAGGGTCGGCAGAGTATATATGCCATACAGCTCTATTATAAATCATGTAAATATGTTAAAATCTGTCCTATTTCTATACAAAAGATTTTAAAACTATCTGTCTATATTTTTATACTAACTTACTTATGTAGAATGTCAGGAATTACAGTAAATTTTTGAATAATTATCTTTTTAATAAAAAGCCTTACACTTACAACACACTTTAGGCTATATATTTTCACACTATTAAACTTAGGGAGTAAAAAAGGGACCAAAACTACAATGCTGCCAATAGCAAAGAAGCATGGTTGCCATGGTTACTTATAAACAATGCTCAGCTAATATCAAGGGCTTCAACATTTACAAATGAAAGTTTTACAAAATGTTGTAAAATCCATTTTTATAGTAATTATAAATTTCTCACCTTAGTTCATAATTCAGCACCATATACAATGCTGGGGATGGTTCCCTCTGTATAGCATGCAGCGAGATGTTGGGGTACAGTAGGGAGATTGTAGGGGATGGCCCACCATTGCTGCCTACCCCACCACCCCATACAACATCACTGAAACAAATATCAAGTCAAAATACAACCTTACAGAGGGGAGAGTCAACTCTGAGTTAATAACTAGGTCATAGTCAACCATGCTGCAATGTGGCTTGACTTCACATATGTTTGAAATTCTTTGCCAATATGTACAGGCATAATGTTTTCCTCCACCATAAAAACATTTGGTAAATTATATTTATATGAAATTCAAAAATCACATTAGTAACTGACTGGATTCAAACCCAGGACCTGTAGATTACAAACCAGGTGTTTATAACTGAGCCGCTAAGACTCTAGAACAAATATTCACACATATGTAAACAACATACTGCAGTTTAAGGTGGATTGAAAAACCCCCTAAAACTACAGAATTATAAAATTCCTGCTACAAGACTGCTATAAGTGAAAACTTTTTATTGGCCCATAGTTATCTATACTATTATAATAAAGCATAAACACACACTCCTTTCTTGCCTAAGATGTCAGCAATTACAGCATATTTTTTAATAATTCTTTATTTAATAAAAAGTCTATGTCACACTTAAGGGTATATATTTTAACACCATTAAACTTAGGGAGTAAATAATTTGGATAAAAACCGTAATGTGGGAAAGAGACCATAAGTTGCTGCCAACATCAAGGAAGCAAGATTGCAATAGTAAGGTAAAAGGTATTTTGATATTTGCAATTGAAACTTTGACAGTAAAATAAATGTATATCTTCATGCGGATGAAGCCGCACAGGAATAACTAGTCTAGTTTATAGTTATCTAGATTAATTAAATTTTTCCAAATGTTAAATAAAATAAGTGTGAACTTAAACTGGAAAATAAACATGTGGATGATGTCAAGTCAAAATCATAACCACAAAATCAGTATTTAAAGTGCACCTCCATACATGTTTTGTAACATGTTCATACTGATTAAGTGCCCAACTAAACAATTAATAAATTATTGTCTAAAGTTGGCTGGGACAGTAATAATATGATTGTTATATCACGTAGTAAGCAAGCAATCACTGAATCTGACGAAATACCGATATAACGGCCAATAGACATCTGTAATTGCATGTCTTTAATTAATAGATGGGTTGCAGAAGAATCAAATGCATCCTTCCGTTTCCCTTCATTCTTTTATAAACATAAGGTGGGAAAGAAAAGTTGACAGAAAAAAAAAGTTGACTTGCTTTTATATAAGTTTTCTTTTTACAATAATTAATCATATATGCTTATAAATTCAACTGTATAATATATTTATAAATACATATCAGGACAAAAGATTCAGTCTCAGTTTGACAACAATGACGCGAAATACCTTATGCAAAATATTCATGGATTTATATTAATTATTATTTAGAGTGCTCGTAATTTACTTACTGCTCGGTGATATACAGAGTTGCAGTTCCTAATTCTTGGTCGTTTACAAGCAATTTTGTGGAAGGACTCTGCATAATAATACCCTCCACCGGTTCCGAAAATGAAGGCGAAACTACAACCATTTTGAAAAATTAACTTTCTAAACACAATACTTGTAAAATTGAACGTTTGTATTAAGTAATTGATCGATTATTTATGTTTTAGCACACGTGAAAGATAAATGCACAAACAAAATAAATTCGCTTGAAACACGTTTTGTTCATAACTTTTCGACTTTTTATTTCTTTGATCGATGGACCACAGATAATACACCTCACTTTGGCATTTAATTTTAGATTGCACATTTCTCTAATAAATTCAACGAAATATAACACGTTATCCTGTAATCTAAAGTAAGTTATAACTTTTAGTAGTTTAAAGATGTTTTACAACTTTTATTTCCTACAAGTTCATAACTGAATACAAATGTTAGCAACTTTTATAAATTAGCCGTCTTGCTTTCAACGTTTCCAAACGAAAATATCAATGTCATTTGAATTTTCAGAAAAAAAAATTTAAACAAATCTTAACTTTTGTGCCGGTATATCGAATATCTGGGTAAGTAAACAATTTAAACTCATTCTAAATAAAGTAAGGGCTTAGTATTTACATTATAAATGCATTTCATAAGGAAATCCAGTAAAATTAAGTCATTCTATCTTAAAAAACAACCTATAAAGCGAGGTTTGCAATACACTGATTTTCGGGAAGAAGGTACAATTGGACGTCTGTTTTAATTATTTTTATAAATACTGGGAGCATTTACCACAGATTTTATCTGAAAATCATACCTCTTAGGCAATAGGTAAACTTATAGGTAAGAAAAAGAAAAATTCGCTTAACTATAAACATGATTATTTAAATAAAATTAAAGATAAGGATCTAAAATAAGCCTAAAATCCATACCAATATAATGATAGCCTTAAGTTGAAGCTTGTAACTTATTTTATTGGTTACTGTTGCTCTCGACTTCGCCCGCATGAAATTAAAACGAAAGAATTTTCAAATCAGCCCAGTAGTTTTTACGTGAATCGAAAACACACAAAAATACAAATTTTTCCTCTTTATAATATTAGTATAGATAGAAAAGTGGGGTTATAAACATTTTAGTTAAGTAGTTATGAAGTCTATACTAAATAAAGTAATCTTTTCTTTCTGACTATTCATGAATATTGAACTCTCTCTCTCTTGATTGTTTCCTCATTCTGGAGGGTCGAGACCACTCTCCTTGATAATCTCTTGAAGGGTGTTTCTCAACTCTGTGAGATTCTCTGCGATGTTTATGGCATTATTATGAATATTGAAGTACACATCTACTAATAGTTAATTTTCTTTTTTCTCATTTCTTTTTGTTCAAGTATATATTGTTGCAATGTGTTTTAGAACTGATTAAATGTTTATTATTATTATTACTAGTATTGCCAGCGTCAAACAACATTTTAGCTTGGCACATGACAGGGAGAGATTTGCTGAGCTGACAGCCAACCTCCAGAAATGGAAAGGCATTAGAAAAAGAAGAATACAAAGTTTCTCTACCACAAAACTTTTACTTAGAACAGTAAAATAAATAGAAATTTACTATTTTAAGTATTTAAATGCTTTTATGGTGTGAATATTTAAAAATGATGACAAGTAATAAACCCAATATAGATAGCAAAGTTGTTATCTGTACTAATATTATACAGAGGAAAAATTTGTGTTTTTGTACTGGAATATCTCATAAACTAACTGGGAAAATTTCAAAAATTCTTACACTTTAAAAAGCTACATTATAAGTGAGTCACATAGGCTACATATTGAAAAAAAATTAAGTCCAGCCTGGCGAAGTCACGTGGAACAGTTTGTTTAAAATAGCGCCATCTAGTGGTAAGTTTACCGTTTTAATTGCCAGCTCCATCTGGCAGCAATTATTTTAATTAAAAGGTTCATCAACAGCTGTAGGTATTTGCTTTTGTTTCTCAAAAATCATACTTCATACTTATCTTACTTCTTACTAATATTATAAATGTGAAAGTTTAGATGGATGGATGTTTGTTAGAGTTTGTAGCCTAAACAGCTGAACAGATTTCGATAAAATTTGGTATAGATGAGGAGGATAGACTGAAAGAACATATAAGCTACTCACTTTTGTTTTTTTTAATCCCACGCGGACGAAGTCGCGGGCGAAAGCTAGTACTGCATAAATACTCATACAAAGTTCAACCTCTATGAAATTTAGGCATGTCTTTGAATTAACTTTTTTTCGTAGTATTGCTCTAATAATTATATTTAGGCCTAGTTGTTGTCAGTCTTTTACAAAAATATTAACAATCAAAACTTATCTATACTAATATAAAAAAGAAAGATTTGCATTTATATATTTATTGAAATAACTTAAAAACTACTGGGTAGATTTTAAAAATTCTTTCACCGTTAAAAAAGTAATTTATCCGTGAGTAACATAGGCTGTACTTTTAAAAAAGATTAACAATCAAAACTTATCTTTACTAATATTATCAAAAGGAAAGATTTGCATTTATATATTTATTGAAATAACTTAAAAACTACTGGGTAGATTTTACTAATTCTTTCACCGTTAAAAAAGTAATTTATCCGTGAGTAAAATAGGCTGTACTTTTAAAAAATATTAACAATCAAAACTTATCTTTACTAATATTATCAAAAGGAAAGATTTGCATTTATATAT